TTCAGAAATGAGTAAATTTTCTCTTAAAAAAAATGGCATGTGCTTCCCACAACTAGTGAAATAATGCCAATATGTACAAAGTACTAAGTTTCTCTAAACTCTTCAGTTTACTCCAGAACAGTCTGTGTGTCCATCTTTCTTTCATGATCATTCATTCATTGACATATTTGTAGGTTTTGTTTTTACCAAAATGGGTTCACAATATATGTTACTCTGTAACTGTCTTTTCACTTAAATATATCATGGACATGCCACAGGTTAAGACCCAGAGGTCTGACTCATTCTTTTCAACAGCTGCATAATACTCCAGCTTGTAGTTGTTCTACAAATGATTCAATCATTCCCTTTGACTGTCAAGTTGTTCCCATTTTTCTCCTACCACAGGCCATGTTACAGCAAACTTCTTGCACTGATGTCCTTGTATCTCAGTGCTTGTAGTTCTTTGACATACAGTTCTTCAGAGTGGGACTGCTAGGTTAAAAGATGCATCTAAAAATTGTAATTGCTACAGCCAGGTTGCCTCTTAAAAAGACTAGAACAATCCACACTCACACCAACAATGTACAAAAGTTTTCATTTACCCCAATTCCTGCCAGCACTGGAGGTCATTGCTGTTTTAAATTTTGCATCTGATAGGAGACCAATGGTACCGTTTTGATTTACATCTCCCGGACCATGTGTACACTTGATCTGCTTTCATATGCTTGATATGCCAGAGAGAACAATGGTTTGAAGCATGGACTCAAGAGTCAAACCCCTTGAGTTTGTGTCATAGCTCAAGACATGTGACCACCTATTGCAGGACTTGGACAAGTTACTTTATTCCTCTAAGCCTGTCTTCTTCTTCTTTTTTTTTTTTAAAGATTCTATTTATTTATTTGAGACAGAGAGAATGAGAGAGAGAGCACATGAGAGGGGGGAGGGTCAGAGGGAGAAGCAGGCTCCCCGCCAAGCAGGGAGCCCGATGCGGGACTCGATCCAGGCACTCCAGGATCATGACCTGAGCCGAAGGCAGTCGCTTAACCAACTGAGCCACCCAGGCGCCCTAAGCCTGTCTTCTTAACCGTACAACAGGGATGATATTACCTATCTCCAAGGGTAAGTTGTATTAAATTAAATTAAAGTGTGTGAAACAATGTCTAGGACATAGCAAGCTCTAAGTAAGTGGTGACTATTATTGTTGGTCTTTTAAATTTGAGTTGCCTATCGGATGTTCTCTATTGGGATGATTGTTTTGTAGTAATCAATTTGTAGGAACTCTCTGTATATTAGGGATATTAATCATCAATCTGTCACTTGTGTTGGAAATTTTTCATGTGTCTTTTATAGAACCAAGATTTGTTTTCTCCAAATTTGTTTATGTGGTCAAGTATTTCTCTAATTTCCTTGAGAACTTCTAGATTTTGTTTTGCTTATGACCCCCATCATACGATTATAAAGTCTCCTCAAAATTCTTCCAATATTTCATTTTAACATTTGAATTTGCAGTCCCTTTGGTATCGTGTATGTTGTGAGGCAGGAATCTGGTTGCTCTCTAGACACTTACTGTAGCTCTATTTATATAGTAGTAACACATATCAGATTTAATTTAGAAACTTCATGGAAAGAGAACCTTGGAATCCTTTTTTCATATGAAATATTACAGTAAACACCAATATACAAAACTGAGCTATTTCTGTTTGAAGTGGTGAAAGGCTTGAGTAAGATAATGAAGAGCCTTGTAAAAAAAGTATAAAGTTTCAGAATAAAAGTTTAGATTTTATTCTGAAACAATGGGGGAACTGTTCAAAGGTTTTAGGCAGGAGAGTGACACAATCAGATCTGCTTATCAAAGATTACTCTAGCTGCTCTGTGAAGAACAGACTGCAGTAGGACAGCAGTAGAGAGAGTGACACTAGAATGGCATCACAATAGTCCTGTCAATAGATACCCCGGACAAGGCTGATAGAATGGAGATGGTTTTAAGGTACATTTACATGATACACCAGGAGAGTGTATCATTTACATGATACACCTTAATGACTAACAGGGATGTTAGGGGTGACAGAAAAAAGGAAGTGACCAGAATAATTCCTGTGTTCTAGTCTGTGGAGCGTGGAGCCATTTATCAAGAAAAGAATGAGAAGAGCATATTTTGAGGGAAAAATGATGGGGTCAGTGTGAAGTATCTGTTTATCAAGCAGGGGGATATCCAAATGACAGGTGGACATTCAAATATGGAGCTCAGGAAATCTATCTGGGCTGAAAATAGGAATCTGAAGTTATCAACATACAGTTGGAAACCAAAGCCAAGGGAATGGGGGAAGATTCTTCAGAGTAGGCCAAGAAGGCCTAAGACACAGGAGGGACACCGACTCGGTTGGGCTTCTCTGACTGTAAGTAACAAAAATTGGTCCTGGCTACCAGGCCTTTGCTTTTGGTTGTAAAGGGATACCTTTTACAGCCATTTGTATTAGTCTGCACAGCTGATGCAATTTACTAGAAGGATACAAGGCAGTTCACAAAAATTTGAGAAGCTTAACATTCAAGAAAATCAGGAATCTGGGCAACTGAGGAAACCTCGGTAACATGAACTCATATGCCATTTACATATTATGTTCTGGTAGCATGGTAGAAGGGCAGCTTCACAAAGGGAAGGTGAGGTGCTGTTCTCAAAGGAGGCGGGGAGAGACACTGGTTAGGTAAATGCACTGCCCACTATGTTCTACCCCTTGGCTGCCCAGGACATGCATTCTTCAACATGAATGACTTTATAAATGCTTCCATTCAACATACTGTAGAAAATGGATTCTTCTTCTCCCCCAGGTGAGAACTTAAAAATAAATTCCACTATCACATCCAGTGTCAAACCTAAAATTTCTGGGTGATACTGTCCTTTAGTTCTTAAACTGTACCTTGAAATCAACAATTTATGCATCTGCTACCATATTGAACCAACACACCTGTGTATATTAGTGAGAAAATACTGCCAGTAGAATGGTTTCCTTATCCATTTCAAATTGTCCCACTGTCAACAGATACTTGGTTTTAAGGTATATTTACATGATACACCAGGAGAGTGTATCATTTACATGATACACCTTAATGACTAACAGAGATGTTAGGGGTGACAGAAAAAAGGAAGTGACAAGAATAATTCCTGTGTTCTAGTCTGTGGAGCATGGAACCATTTATCAAGAAAAGAATGAGAAGAGCATATTTTGAGGGAAAAATGATGGGGTCAGTGTGAAGTATCTGTTATCAGTACCTGGTTATCAACAGGCACATGCTTCCAAAGGACAAGGGGAAAGTATCTTTACTGGCTCCTTTGCCAATATAAATTGCTTATTTCCCCTACCCTGGGATACAGAGCAAGTTTTTGCTGCCTTTAGTGCAGACTCAATTCCAGATCTTCCATGTTCTTAAAGGTCTGAAGCGCATTTAACTCTCTGGTATCAATTTCTGTTATCATTCATTTAGTTGTAAGCAAGAGAAACCTGCTTTGGCTGACAAACGAAAAGGGAACGTATTTTAAGGATATATGGTAGTCTACAGAATCAAAGGAAAATTTGGGAACTAGGCCTTGCAACAGGAACCAGGGCACCATGGGGGAATGTTCTTGCACCAACTCTGATATAGCTTCCTTGGGACACTACCATCAGGATGACTCAATTCCTGATTTTGTTTGCATCACCTCTCTTAAGACTCGAAGTCCTGGTGAGAGGGGAATTTTGATTGGACAAGCCTTGGATCACATGATCAACTAGAGGGGAGAGGCTGGAATACTGTAATCTACAGTTCCACTAAAACCTCAGAATGGAAAGGAATAACATTACAAAGAAAAAGTGGGGATTTATCATTAAAGGGGAAATGGGAGGCAAAAATCAATGGATTACACCATTACACTAATATTTAAATGGTGGGGAGAAGAAAACTATCTACAATGGAGCAAAAGCCAGAAATGGAGGAAGAAAATGAGAAGTGTCACAATTCCTAAGGGAAAAAGAGTGTGCCAAGATATGATGGGAGCAGACTGTGCTGCTGAAAGTTCAGGTAAGATGAATATGTACTAGACTTAGCAATAAAAAGGTCACTATTGAACTTGACTGTGGTATCAAAATACTCAAGGATTTCAAAGATGATCTTCTTCTTCTACCTACCTACTGTGAACACTGCAATAGAGGACTTAATAAATTAATCAGTTGAGAACTGGAATAATCTTTGATGAACACTGATACTAGGATATCCTGATAATCCAAAAAAACCTCATTTAAAGAGACATGCTTGAAAAATTAAGAATCAATCGCTGAGTTTGAGTTCCTCAAACAAGGTACAATAACCTTGTCAGCTTCACTAATGGATGATGACTATATTTATCTAAATATTCACTAACAGAAAGATGGGTATTTTAAATTACTTGACAAAATAAGCTCAGTGGTAAGTAACTTGCCCAAGTCAAACGATAAGTACTAAATTTAATTTTTAAAATTCTTTATTTTTAAATAAAGTTTAAATGTAATATTAGTGGAAAATATTCAAATACAGAAATGTATAAAGCTGAAAGTTCATGTAATCTACACTATTTGAAGAAAGCCATTAGTAGACTTTTCTATGCATCATAAACACAAATTTTTGAGTTCATACTATACATTTTTCTATTGTTTGTTTCACTTAATATATCATGGCCATTTTTCCATGTTCATACACAATAACTGTATTTTATTAATTTTAACAGCCATGTAGATTTTATATGGCTGAGCCATGTGTTATTTAACCAATCCTTTGCCTATACACATTTAGGTTTTCTTCTATATTTTTCTACCATGTAATTTTTATGCTTCTGTAGTAACTTAAACATTGTCACTTCCTGTTTCACTTTGTCTTCTGGTTTGGAAGACTTCCGTGTGGCCATGACCTCCAGTTTAATAAATACTTGAATTTGTCAAGTTTCGATGCTGGTAGACAGTATACTAGTCAGGAGTGACTCAATTTTAAGCAACAGAAACCCAACTCAAAGTAACTTAAAGCAAAAAAGGGTATTTATTGGCTCACATAACTGAAAAGTCCATAGGGATATACTAGCTTCAGGCACGGTTGGATCCAGGGGCACAAACATTGTCATCAGGACTCAAGTCTCTCCATCATTTGGCTCTGCACTGGCTTCATTCTCTGGCTCATTTGATATGGTGGGCCCTGTTGGTTTGAGCTTTTCATACTACAAAGCCAAGCAACCTCAGTAAAGAGAGCTTCTGAGCTTCTCCTCCACAGTTCAGTAGAACTCCTAGGGCTGAGTATCACTGGACCAACTTGGATCACACAACCATTCCAGAACCAATCTTTATGGTGAAAGAATGGACTATGCTGATTGATCAGGTCTGAATTACATGTCCACCCATGAAGCTTCAAGTTGGGCCAGACTGTCTGAATCATGTGGACTGAAGATACGGAAAAGTGGTTCCAAGAAACATCACAGAGTTGCTACAAAGAGATGGAATGGATGCTGGTCAATCAAAACCTGATGTCAATATGACCCATAATACTGAAAAAGTTTAGTATCTGTTCACTAACAGCTGGCATCTGTTACTTTCTTGACGATAAAAGTATTCTGAAAAAACATCATGAGGAGTTAAGTTTGTCCTGTACTCAGGAAGCTTGTAATCCATTTCAATGGAATAATTGTGTCCAATAGCATACTTTGGATGATGCAATAGCGTTTCAACAGAAGTAAACTCAGTGGCCTTGAATCTGAGAGCCCAGCCATCTTGCAGACACAACGCAGGACAACAAGCCTCCCACTGGCAAATAGTTCTGTGAGGCTATTAAGTCAGTGTAACTTCTAAGTTCCGTGGAAAACTTTTCTTGCATTCCTTTAGTCTTTTGTCAAGGTGAAGTGGTACATTTCTGTCACCTCTGTATTACTGCAGAAGAGAGGAATGGACAGTGCTTTCAATCTGTAGTCCTTCAGATCTGGTAGAAGGGGTCTCAAGTGCTGAAAATGATGAAATATATGTAAGTGTAGAGGCTTACTCTGCACTTAAAAAAAAAAAAAAGGGCTGCTGGTCAAGTAGTATATAGCACAGTCCTTCCAGTTGTGAACATTAAGTCCTGGGGGTGTGTGTATGTGTGTGAGATGCAGGCTGCTTCTATTCAAAACTCCTTGGTGGAACTGAGTGTAAGACAGGCTGATACCAGTTGTAGTTCTCTCATGCACAGCCAGTCTGATTGCCAACATGTCAAAAAAGGCATACAAGGGCTGAGTCTAAAGAGACAAATAGGGTACCTTCAGCAGGGCTAGCCACACCAATAGCCAGGATGTGATCTGGGAAAATGGGTAGATTGATATCGAAGCTCTGTAAATTAGTTTTTACCCTGAGTACTCCAGGGTCATTCCTTAGGGTTTACTCTGGATATCATTTTCTGATCTTAAAGGGCCAGTCAGGTATAGCAGCTTTCATTTTTCTGTTTATCTGCCCCAGAACTTTCAGCTCAGTAGAAGGCTATATTCTCAATTCAGACTTGAGGTTCTGTTGAGAAGTCTATGCTACATCTGGGAATGACAAGGTTGGGAGAGCCAGGTTCATGAAGGTTGGCCCTACTCTCTTTGGTAATCAAGTCTCCATCTTCTGAAACTCAGCCCATCTCTGAGAATCAGCTTATAAACAAGGCCTTAGATTGGTTGGATGGTGCTGCTGAAAGACTTAGATTGAGATCTGAGGCAGGCAGATAGTAGTTAAGATCCTGGGTTTGAGTTTTAGGCTTTCTTCATTTTCAACCATCAATTCTTATACACAGCGTACATTAGACTCTTGAATAGATGATCATCCTCACCTTAAGCCCCTCATTTTGACTGCATTTGACAGGATTAAAGGGAATGACTGGCAGTGTAGATCAGTGTCTTTTTCTGTAAGTACAGAAGAGAAAATCGAGCTGACATTTTGAAGGTAGTAGAAAAATGGAGTTTGTAGATAACTTCTTATTAACAAATAGTTGTATATACAAGCAAGCTAGTCATTAGATTTTTATTAGTTGAGGATGCACAGGCCTTGTTTGATGATTTGTAGACAGAGTCATGTAATCAGGGTTAGTCTAGAGAATAAGAGACAAAAGATACAAAGAAACCATTCCCAACATTTAACCAGTGCATTCATTAGAGTATAGTTGAGGACAGCTGGCCCTTAAGTAGATTGTGAAGTAAGGGACTGAGATTTTTCTCACGACACAAATTAAAGTCTACTTGTTTGACATGACCTGGTCTGGGAGTTCACGAACTGAATCCATCCTGCAGAAACAGGTAAGTGTCTTAATGCCTGAGAGTATCTCATAGCAAGGAATGAAGTCAGCCACTCTGAATCAGTATAAAACAACAGTACTGAGACAGATGAAATTCCATGAAAACATCCACAAAGACAAGACATTGGTCTTGTAACATTAGGAAGAAGCTGCAGGAAGCTCTTGAGTCTACTGATAAAATCTTAGCTGCAGGCTTTGTAGATTTTCAAGTCAGTCTACATTTCCAGCAAAAAGGTAGATGATATGTAACTTGAGATGCCCAGCAAGCAAGCTACCATGGCCTGGTCAAGAGGCCTACCTCCAAATATCCCTAACACCTGCAGTTGATGGTACCAGACATCAAAAGAGCCATCATAAAAGAACACCTCTCATTGGTTAGAAGAAAATTTTCCAAAAGATCACATTTAAAATCACATACATGAGAGAGGATATTCAAAAATAGTCTCTTGTGGATCAGGTGTTACATGTAGTTAGAGCAGAGTATTCATAATTGTGGAGCAGACATGCCAATGATGGAGGAAACTTTTTTAAGGTTATTAGCTCATTTATCCTGGAAACAGCAGTTAAACTGAGTAATAACCAAGAAGCAGTGTAACTGCCACTGGTTGAGTCATAGTGACTGGTAGTTTTGAGAATAAGATGAATAACCAGGTACCCTTTTAGGTAATGTTGCCAGAATTTCAGTTCTACTTTCATAGGTAATGGTTATCCCTTGCACACGAAGTAAAGTACCATGGCTGATGATGGGAGGTCCAATGTACAAGTTGGTCTAATATGGCCTCAATGAGGCATCATCAACTTTAGTACCAGCTTCAATACCTGGCGATTCAGGTATCCAAGGAGGATCAAGACTTCAAAGTTACATATTTCAAGTACCGCTAGAGCATCTGGTGTTTGTTAAAGAGGCTGGGTAAGGGGGTGTGTCAGTGTGGAGTACATATGAATTGCTGACTATATTGAATCCCAGGAATCACTGACTTGAAATCCATCTGGGGGTACAGGGCTGCTAATCTAGGTCCATTTGATACCACTTTCGGCCCACATGACTACTCTGGGGGGGCAAAGATATGCCCATCTTCTTGCACTTTTCTGATTCTGCCCACGGTAAGTATTCCTAAGAATGTGCAGCATCAACTGAACACGGACTGGCTTGGGTAGAGGTACAGATCAGAATGCCATTCAGGTTGCACATGTTGTCTAGGGCAGTGGTTTTCAAACTGTGTTCTGAAGAATTTTAGGTGTTGTAAAGAAGTCTCCTTAGGGGTCACCATGGTGGTAAAGGAAGATGCTTGTGTGGCAGGTTTCAAGCCCCCCACTCCTGCTTCATCTACAGCAGCTTCTCTTTTACTCTGGGCTTCCACACAGTTTTCATCCAAAGGGCTTCATGGTCACAAAGCCTTTGGAAAACCAATGATCTAAGAATAAGTTGTTCACAAAATGCTGAAATACAAAAAATAGGTCACAGAAACCAGAAACTGTGAGCAAAGTCTATGGTAAGCCAAGAAGGTGTTTTCCTAGTCATTCTTTCCCTAATATGGGCCACATTACAGAATGATGTTAACATTCAAGTTTGCTGTAAATTCTGATGGCCTCAAACTGGGTTTGTGACTATCAGAGAACAGGCTATTGGTTTTAAGTGACAACAGCATTGGATTTTTGCAGTCAGCATACGTCTGCAAAATGCATTCCATTTCTTTGCAAATATTATCCCAAGTCCATGGCTAGAGGACTTCTCTTCAAGCACTGGTAAGATCTCAATGGGCCACAACTCAAATTCTAAGAAAATATTTCCTTCTCATCCCTCCTCCCCCTTTTTTCCATCTTTCTCCTCCTCCCTTCCCTTCCCAATCTCCTCACCCACCTGAGACTCAATGCCTTTGAGCTAGATTTACAGCACAATTCTAAGGACAGAGAAGTATATTGCTAAATGTCATGGAACTCATCCAATTTGGGGGTCAACATTAACTTTTCCCCATTCCCTTCCCATATATCCTCACAGATCTTCTAACGGTTCCTTTAACAGAAAAACAGAGGTAATGGTCAAGATGTAGGACTCTCAGATGATAAAGACATACCAATTCAAGCAGTTACTGACAAAGTCAGAAATGGGGGGAGGGGCTTCAAAGATGCTGTTTACTCCTGGGTCTCCAGTACTGGCTATACTGCATTAAAGCAGTTTCCCCATTCCGTTTAAAGGAATGCTGCAACAATAACATTCTGTGTTTGATTATACTTAGGACACACTGGGCTAAACAGCTCAATGAGGCTCTTTGTCGCAAGCCTTCTGAGATCCTTTAATACACTACAATGAATCAGGGGAGGGAACACATATTTTACCATCTTACAGGACTATGGAAGCTCTACGTATACATGTTATGAGTATGCATCAAATATACATACACACATATATGAACAGCACTGCTCTAAAAAAATGTAGGACTCATGTCAAGTACATGTTTGGGGGTAGAGGACCATAGATAAGATCTTGGTGTCTAAGAGTTATTAGTAAAACCTAGGGAAAAAAAAAAGAGAACAAAACATGAACAGGGATCTCCAATCAATTAGGCCATTTGGGAAGACCATGGGAACAACAGATCTAAAAGTAGCTTTGTGTTTCATGTTACATAGTCTTATTGTCAGATGAACGTGTGCCTTGTTGACTGGAATAATCTGCCACTATGGAGACAGTCCTCTCTTAAACCTTAGGGATACTGCCATGGAATTCTGGTCTAGGTGCAGCCATCACAAGATTACACTTATGACATCCTGACTGACTGAGGGTACCAGATCAGAAGTTAAAAACTTTTCTGGGGTTACCAACCTCCAGTCATCTTAACACTGCAGGTAAAGTTGAAGCTAAGTTAATTCCATGGAGAGAACTGGACTGGGAGTCAGAAGGCCTGACCTCTACCACTTTGTAGCTGTGTCACCTTGGATAACCTTTTAAATTTCCATTTCCTCATTTGCAAAAAGGGATTATAATTTACTGTGTTATTTTGATAATTGAGATTAATGCATGTAAAAGTGCTTTGAAACTATAAAGTGCTATATAAACATAAGGGATTACCATTATAGGTTCTACCTGGATGTATCAAGATGCCTTTTCTGGAATCTGACTGCAGCTTTGTGAGATGCTGTTAGATAAAGGGATTCCTTGGCAGAATTTCTTAAATTTGTGTGAAAAGTTCTGGTTCCTGAGTAATCCCAAAGATGCTGTGAGTTCACTGTGCCTTTGTTTTAATCCCAATATCTGCTGGTCAGAATATCTGCTTTCTATTCAGTAGGCTACTATAGACCTGAAGTGGAAAAAGAATAAGATCCAGTGACCTGGAGAGGATCCTAGACACTTCATGAATTTCAATCATTTGAAATTGTGGGGTATGGTCCAATGCCGTTCTTGAAAAGATGTTGTCATTCTTCAGTGTTGATAACTAAAAATCCTCTGGTCCAAATTTATTATGTGTCTCTGAAGGCTTTAACTGAAGAAATGAAATGCACAATCAAGGAACAAATTGGGCCTTTGTTGTGATAAAATAGCTTCAGCTACTTGACTTAAACAGTTTGACTTCACTATAAAGGGCTGTGCTGAATCTGGGTGGAACAGGACAGGAGTGGAGGTGAAGGCCACATCATGATGGTTGAATGCCTCTTGGATCACAGTGGCCCACTGGAATGGTGTCTTCTTCAGCAGTAAGGTGAAGGAAATCACCAAGGGCAAAAATCCAGGTACCAGATCTGTAGGCTGATGGAACAGTACAAGGAAGGTAGTCAGAAGGTCCAGGTGAACACTCAGCAATCAGGAGGCACAGGACTGGAAGGGACAGGAACAAAACAGGTAAGATAACAAATGCACGGAATTACAAACACAGAACACTAACACTAGGGTGGGTGTGCTGTCAACATATCAGCTGCCTGATGGGTACTAGTTCTAGATAAGCCTAACTAAGAAGCTGACAAATGATAAATGGGGAGTAAAAAAAGCTTTCTGATTAACAATCAGTGACGATAATTGTTCTCTGGCAGGGACTGCTTCCTGACTCTTGAGAACAAACTGTCCTAGGGAAGCAGCAAACAGGAATTGCCCTAAGTCTCGTAATTTGGGGGAGTAATTTGATTGTATTCAGGCTGCTGAGTAGTGCCTGATTGGGGAGAAAGAAGTGGCTCCACTGGTAGCACGAGAAGAACCGAATTTAAATTTATATACCAACACCAAAGGAGATCTTGTCCTTCTTCCTTTTCCAATGCTTTCCTCAAATTATCTTATGACCTGTACTTTTTTAAAAGCGGTCTTTAACTTTCATTTTAACAAGATCCCATCTTGTGTGGGAGAGAATAAGGTACCCCGGGAATAAGACCCTGGTATTTGCACCCTCTGTTAATACCCTATGCAATCTTTCAGTTTCTCTTCACATCTGAGGGCTCCCTAAATCTTTTTAAATTTAGAATAAAAAAACAAAACAAAACCCACCATGAAACACAGAAAGAAACATGACCCATAACTAGTGATCTTTTTCCTAATCAAAAGTAATTAGGTTACCACACAGCAATTAAGCAAACGCTTACTGTTTATTCCGATAGCCCATTCTCTAAATTACTCCTTTCTATGAAAGGCTTCATCATATGTAGGTAGTACATGCGGGCAAAAATCCTTAAAACAAAGCCCTTGCTTTCAAGGGGCTTGCTATCTGGAAAAAGAGCAAATGCTTGCACATGACTACTTTACAAGGTATGCTATGCAAAGATAACTAAAAGGTAAACAACAGAATATGAAACTTAAAAAAAGATAAAGTTAAGGAGACTCATGGAAGTAGAGAGCATCTGATGTGGATATTGAGGAAATGGCAGTGTTCTGACAGGTGAAGAACCAGAGGAATACATTCCAAAGTAGAGCATGAACAAAAGTGCAGAGATGGTCAGTAAAGAATGAGGCATTTTGGAAAATGGCAAGTACCGTAGTTCACTTTTGATGGAGTGTTGCTAGAGTTTGCACTGAAGGTCTGGCAGAAACTCAGGTCTTCAAATTCCCAGTAATGGTGCTGGTGGCAGCGCTTGCTCAGTTGCTGTCTCTTCTCAAAGCAAGGTCAACAGCCCCCAAATTCAAAACCAAAAATATTCAGCTCCAGAGTTCCTGTCACATCCTGACACACTCTTCAGGTCCCAAGTGTTGAAAATCTGGAAATCTGGAGGCCATGCCGTGGCTCCGCAGAAAAGCATCTGCTCCAGCTAGTGCAGAACACTGTAGTGAAACCTTTTCGGCCTCCTATCCTGGACATCTCATGTTTTGTCACAGAATTTCAAGCTTTGAGTTCCAGTTGTTTTTTTTCCTCCTTTCTCCCGAGGAAAGCATCTTATAAGATCACCACAGTCTTAAGATTCTTTTGAGGTACATCCAGATAATAACAAAAGAGCTAAAAGACCAACACATTTTTCTCCAAAACAGTCATTTCTCTGGAAGTGAGATCATTTGTCTTTGCCCTTTAGGTAAAAGGAATAGTCAACTGATTTTCTCAGACATTTGTATGAAATAGCAAAACAGGTAAACACCTAACCAGACAAAATACACTTAAATGTGTTTATGTTCACTTGCTTAGAGCTGTACCACTGGTAAGCACCACTCCACAAAATTAAAATGTTTGAAATCCAACTGTTCAAACATTTCTATAGTGTTTGCTGGACAATGGCCTGGAATTTGATAAAAGCAGCTGACAATTAACAAAGAAGCAATAACTGGCATTTTGGCCATCTTAGTAACACACTTGCAAGCAAAGAGAATACAAAGCAGGCCAGAAAAAAAGTTAAGCATTGAAACACTTCCAAATCTACTGATTTTGAAGTTCAGCAGAAGTCATAACAAAACTCTTCAGAGAGTGTTAACCTTCAATTAATAAAGATAAACCCCCAAACATCTTCAGGAATTCCAGGCCTGGTTTAGTCTGTGTACCAGTGAGCCAGCTTGCTAAAAATCCACCTGCACCATTAATTAGCTGGACTCGGCAGCACCATTTAAAAATAAGCCTGCTCACTACCAACCGCACAGACTAAGGATATAAAATAGAAGCAAGTAATGGATGGCAACCATGGTTGTGGAAAATGGTCAATGAAAGAGACAGGTAGTCAGGTACCAGTATAAGCAGCAGAACACTAAGAATTGCTGGGCCAAAGCTTCAACAGGCTTCTTGATACTAGAGAACACACTCATTTCTCGTTTTAGCTGCTTTATGTTGGGTGCCATTGAACCATACCAACGTTGTCAGCCACCCTTCAGGCACCCCATGGTAAAGGGAAAGGACTCAGAATAGAAGCCAAGCAATGGAGCGTTGTTACCCCAAATATCCATTATGCATAGAAACAGCTCACATATCCCAGGGATTCAAACAGGGGCTTCAAATCGGTTGTGAAGGGTCCCAAATGACATCTAGGCCTCAATTTCCTCCCTGTGGCATAAAACAATTGTAGTTCTTAACTTTTCTGGGTTACAGCCCCCGTTGATAACTTGCTGGCGATGGATCCTCAGTCCCCAAAATGCACACTCCCACTATTTCTACATACAATTTCGGGGAGTTTGGGGGATCTCCAACTTCAATCCAAGGTTCCCAGGTTCCAAAATTCAAGAACTGGGCAATTGCTAACTTTTCTTACAACTCAAAAAAAACCCCATTACAAACAATAATCATCCCTTCCGTACACCGACGCTTTATACGTTACAAAGCGCTTTCAACCCCACAAACATTGATAGGCAGAGGAGGAAACTGAGGCGCCGACAAATTACAGAGTGATTTGCCTAAGGTCACTCGGCCAGCTGGTGGCTAGGCCCGGAAGCAAACCCAGCTCTTCCGACTCCGGGGCTTGTCTCCCCACCCCGGAGCTGCCGCCAGAGCTCCCGCCCCTCACTAAGGGGGCATAAGGAGGAAAAGGCAAAGTAGAAAGCCCACCACCAACCATCCCCCAGCGCCCTCTTGCCCCCCCAATTGGGTCCTTGCAGGCCCCGAAGGGTGGCGCCAGGCCTCCAGGCCGGCCCCGGCCACCCCCGCCTCCCCGGCCGCGCCAAATCCCGCCGCCGCCGCCGCCTCCCCGGGAGCGGGGCGGAGCAGTTGCCCGCCGCCGCCGACCACCCGGACGACTCCTCGTCGAATCGCAAACGCATAGGCCGCCGCCCGAGTTCTGCGTACGAGAAGAAAGACGCGGCGCGAGCGCCAACGGCCACCGGGCGCGCGCCGCGGCGGCCGGGCCTGCGCCCCAAGAGCTGGATGCCAGAGCAGGAGAAAGAGCCGCCAACCGATCGCTCGATCGACCGCGCGCCCGCTCCTTCGCCCTACCAGACCGGGGAGGGGGGGAGGGCGCGCCAGGGCTTCTTCGAGTTAGGGGCCTGACTCCCCGGCGACGAGACAAGATGGCTCCTCCGGTCCGCGCCGCAGCTACCGTCCCGGCTGCGTCGCTCGGCCCGCCCCCGGTACTGTTTCTTTAAATGGCGGAGAGGGTCATGAAAGCAGGAAGAGAGGCGCGCGCTCTCACGTGACAGGGGCGGGCCCGGCTAGCAAGATCCGGTCATGTGGAGACCCGCTACCCGCCAATCAGGAGGCGTCGCATCAGGGCGGGGGCGGGAGGAGCTGCGGCTCTGTGATTGGCCGAATGCGCCGCGGAGGCCTCGGGGGCTTGGGGCGTCGGGGAGTGCGCGAGGCGGCCCGGGTTGTGTGCAGTAGCGGAGACAAAGCGGTGGCTGAGGTGGCTGAGGCGGCTGCAGCAGCGGCGGCAGAGCAGCCCTAAACGCCGAATTCCGTGGTGCTGAGTCCTGTCATCATCTCATTCAGCGCGGCGCGTGGGCGGCTGGTCTCGCGGCGGCGGCGGCAGCGGCAGCGGCGGAGGCAGCACATGGTTCCAAGAGCGCGCTGCGGTTGTTGGGTTCCAATTCCGTGGGGAGGGACAAAGGCAGCTTTGAGCACCGGGCAACGCCCGGTCGGGTTGTGCGCTCTCCACACAGCCCTCGTCCGAGCCTTGAAAGCTGGGACTAACTCCTCTCAGTGAGGAGGCGGCGGCCTCGGAACCCAGGCCCAGGAAGGGCCTGAGAGCCGGAGGCCTCTGTCTGAGGGAAGTGGGGGAGGGGCGTTGCCCGCCTCAGGTGATTTGGGCGGGTCAATTCTGAGGCATTTTTGTGGGTCTTTGTGAGGTAATTTGACCCACTACCCTGAGGAGATTGGGGCGGGAGCACGCAGTAGGTTGGGTCTGGGCTTTGGAAACAGAAATCATCACCAGCGCTTACGAGACCATTCAGTTGGGAGGTGGTGAAGCCGGAACTAACGCCATATGCACTCCATCGACTTCATGGCCGCCAGCCTGGGGCCTTTTTAAGAACCCTGGCATCATTGGTGGTGAAGAAATGGGTGACTGTCCAGTTTCATGACAGAAGTTGGTAAATTTCCGGATTGGTAAATTTTCTGATCGGAAATTTAGAGGAGCAAAAAAACTTGAAGAACGTGAAGATGGAGCAGTAATAAAACCTCCAACTCCCAATACCATCTACTCCAAGACCATCTACATTCAACTCCTTGAACTATCGCAACTGAATGCTAAAGCTCTTTAAGACTACAGATTTATAACAGTTTTTTCCAGAATATTACATCACAGTCATTAAGAAGATAAAAAATTTAAAAGCGAAATCAATTGTAGGGTTAGACATCTCTTAGAATATATTTTGGATAGATACTAGGTAACCTTGTTTAACAGTAAGGAGCACAGACTTAACCAAACCTTTACTGGAAGGAATCCTGCAAAATCTATTCCATTGTAAGGTTGTATTTCCCAGTTAGTGGGTGAAGGACTGGAGACCTCACTGCACTCATGGCTTTCACAAATTACAGCAGTCTGAATCGAGCTCAGTTAACCTTTGAATATCTGCATACAAATTCGTAAGTATCCTTTAGGTGCCACTGAGGTCACTGCTAACTCATTCCTTGATAATACAGAACTCCTTTTCCCAGAAAATTCTGCTTTTTTACTTTTGGGGATGTATCACTGGATGAGTCTTGAGCTCTGTATTGAAGAACTGAGATCAGTGAAATATTTGTTGCTAATCCAGAAGAATACGATCTTCATTTGTTGGATCAAAATATATTTGACCAAATGCAAATTTTAGTTGTTTTGAAGTCCATATTTTGAGTTGTTTCACTCAAGTGTTTGATAGGAATCCAACAGATACTCTTCTTTGGATCGCCAGAAGTTGGACTATTCTAGAATCAACTGTTTCTCTTTAGTGACAACAGCCAAAACAGTTGGGTTATAACAAGTCTTTTTTTTCCTAACAAGAAGAAAAAAAAAAAGAAAGAAGACCTTTAAATGACAACTTGTGAGAAGAAATTATTAGTTTCTCTTTTCAGCAAACAGTTGGCCTTATCTTCCTGGGAAATTCGTCCCTACATCCAATATAGATTTTATGTGCTAAGCAGGAAATGGTAACTTGTTTAAACCCACAATTTAGCCTTTCCCCAGAATGTGTGCAAATCACAGAACACATGTGTTTACGGTTCTTGAGTTAATGAAGAGATTATCATTATCCCATGTTGACCTGGAATGTTTTAGGGTTAATTCTTATGCCCACTCTCTTGGAAGTAATTTGTGGGATCATAACCACATAGTGTTTTAACACATTTGTTTGTCACTTTCGAGATGAAGGTAAGTATTCTACCATTTTAGTGCCTGGAGAAGTGATGAGCAGCTACATGAATGGCCCAGAGATCTGATGAACCACCCTGAGGGTTGAGGATATAGACTTCAATCATCTAGTAATAATAAAATAATAAAAATAAATTTTAGTTTTTTATGGGAAAGGACAATATGTTATTTGTGATGAGAGTAGTTTTTTGTTTGCTCTTTTTCTGATCAAGGAAATAAATTTTTTTCTGGGTAGTGAAGTGAATTGCCAAATGGTGATAGCCTGGTTTTATTTTTGTTTAGGAAGCTTATTATTGAACTAGAAAGTTTTAGAGTAGAGGCCATTTAAGTGAAGTCTCATGCTATTGATGATGAATCTGAAACCCACTTAGATAAGGTTGTAGATCAGGCTTGCTTACCTAGTTGGTAACAGTCTTGGGCAAAATCTTGAGTATCCTTTTTTTATATTTGAACTGCCATGTTTAAGAACAAGCATTTGAAGGCCACTTAGATGTTCACAGGTGATTGGGTTTGATAAATGGTTACTTCAGTTCTGAATTGTGGCATGAGAGTCCAAATTTGGAATGACAGACTATATGATAACATTGGAAGACCATGAATGGGACTTGGGAAATTGGGTGGGTGGTTCTAGTTTCCCCCAAGGACTTTATTTGATGATAAAATAATAGTTACAACAGTTAATTGCTTCTTACCGCTTCTAAAGATGTGTAAAGTAATCCTTATAGTAACCTTGCTGGAGTAAGGATTATTCCTATTTTGCAGTTGAGGAAACAGGCTCAGATTGAATAGTATGCCAAAAGTTACACATCTTCTAAGTGGCAAATTTAAGGCATCAAACTATAAGGCAATAAGATTTATTTGGCCACAATGGTTAGTGTCTTTAACCATTAGGCAGTACTAACTCTGGTCAGTTTTACCTTTAAGGGCTTGTTTTGCTTCTAAAGCAAATGGTTAACTTCCTACTTGGAAGATCTATTCAATTTATCAAAAACCTTTAATTTGAGGTTCTGGAATATTATGTCTTTTGCTATCTTACTAATAGGTGAACAGAACTAAGGTAAAGAATTGAGCTCTAGTTAAGTCACTTGTTTAAAGTGAAATTGGAGAATTTCTGTGAATTTGACTTTCCCATATTGAATTGGAACCACCTGCTTGGATGAACATTTGAGGGTTGGATGTACCATTTTGGAAGCTTTAGATTTTCTAGTCTGGGTCACATCTTTGAAGTTGTCTATTTTAGGATGTGTCCAGTCCTGCCAGAAGAAAATATGAACCCTAAAGTACTATGATAAGTTAGCTTATAACCAATTTCAAAATTTATTTATCATGGTGACATGAATGGAAATCATTTCTACAGGAAACTTTCATAAGATGTGACTTGTTACTCCTAGTGATGGTGGATGGATCTTCTCTGTGTTAAGTGATATGCAGTGTCACCTTTAGAAATAGGAAGATTTGTCTTATAGTACCTTCTCCTTTGGTCTAATTTTTAAAACATAAGACCATAATAGGGTGTCTGACATCTACAATATTGCCATATTGTGAATTATGAAAGGTATGGCCCTTTGCTTACCCCCCATGTAATTTGGACTTGCAGGCTGAACCCAGGCAGGCTAGAAGAATAGAGATCAGTGTGGTGCAATGGAGGGAGCATGCATGGGCTTGGGAGCCAGCCAAGCTTGGATTTGCCTGCTTCCTGGCTGAGTCTTTGGACAAGTTGATTTCCCTGATCCTCAGTTTTTTCATCTATAAAAGGGAGCTAATCCGACAGTTTGAGGATTATGTAAAATGTTTATAATTAGCTCATGCATGGTACACAGTAAACATTGAATAGATGGTGATTATTTATTCACTGTATAATAATTTATATAATAGCAGCTTGCTCTTTGGTGGTAGTCATTAGGCAGATACATTCCTAGTAAATTCTGGAGCATTTGTTGGAGACAGTAAACATCTGTCTTGAGGGGTTTTTTTTGTTCTTTTTTGTATGATGTCTAGGGTAATTGTTGATGGTTATTTTGGTTACATCAGCATTAAGATTTAAGGTAGGCCTGGGAGAGTCTCATGATAACATGAAAGTTTTAGGCTACTTCCTTTTAATACAGGGTGTTGCTAGTATAAAATGATAAGTTACAGTTTTTAAATAAAAACAGTTTTATGCTGTTACTGCTCTTTAGTGTTGGGTTTTGTGACTACTAGTAAAAAGTTCATGAGCAATCTAGGTGCTAGGTTCCAGATATAGTGGTGGTAATGATGTTCCTTTTTGATAAGGTGCTTATCTTAACGTCACTGCAGTACTGCTAAGTGGTCTGATACAGCAGAATGCTTAAGTGTAAGATCCCTGCTCTCTGTGTCTATTTCTGTTGGCACTTTAATAAATTTTATTCTTGGCAATATGATGATTTTGGCTTGTTTTATGTATATATGTAGTGAATATAGAGGAACCTGCCATCTCTAGAGACTTAATATTTTGAGTGACTTAGTTGAAATGTGGGTTAACACTCTAAATATATTAAAGCCATTTGAATGTAAAATGGTTGCTCTAGTTTCTCAGCTTTATTTTCTAGCAATTAAGGCAATTAACTGTTGTCAAAATCTCTTAACACAGGAGAAGCTATTACTGTATGATGGACTTGTGGATAATCTGTTGGTTTAAATTCAGGTTGAATATAAATAGGGACACCATTTTCCTTATGTAATGAGTAGATTTACCCGTGAATTTGTCACTGGAAATGCTGAGCTGCAAAACTATTTTGATCATAGCGCAAATGGTATAAAAGCCAATTGAAAGTGAGAGTTTGCTAAAAATCCTTGCCTTTTTCCATATGGTTGACCTTTCTTGGATAACATGCAAAGAATCTTTACATCTGTGAAAATAATTTTCTTTGATATTTATTCAAATACCTGTTTCAAATGCTAGCAAGCAATGAATGTGTCTCTTTGAATATTATTTGAAAAAAGGAGGAGAAATTATGTCGGTGTATTTTTGGTTCTTATGATTTTAAGAAATATTTAGAACTCTGACTTTGTTAGTAGGACCCATCGATCATTTGAAGGTCTAGAGAAGATGAGTGTTGTCTCTGACCTTCCCAACAGTTGTCACAAAAGACCCCTTTTATGATGTGTCAGTACTTACCAAAAGTATCCGTTAGCTACATTTTAAAGTTATCTGTTAACTTATCTGAAATACGTATGTGTGGAACAGCATTGATACTCTGGAACAACGAAGGCCATTTGGAATGTTTTCTTTAAATTCTGAATTTATAAGGCACATTTCTAAACATTGTATAGAAAGCAGTGAAAACTTAGCCAGAGATACTTTGTGCTTGCCCTTTTGAGATCTTATTGAATTCTGAATGTCTGTCCTTTTTCATGTGAAGCAGTCAGAAATAGGTATTGCTGAGAAACAGTTGCCATTTATTTTTTATTTCTTTGCCCTAATGGCAAAGGGTATCAAAATTAGTTTTCCAAGATTATTTGTATTCACTATTCTCACTACCAAAGGCCAGTACGTCATTCTTAAACATACTTATTCCCAAGATTGCTGCATACAAGTTGTAGTCCCATTCTTATTATGGTTGTATTCTCTTTGTTGTTGTTACAGGAGCTATTATTTCTGAGTTTCTTTGACTATAGTTAAAGTATAGGTTCTCACTGAAATGAGAACTTTTACAGTAGAATTTGTTATTTTATATTTTTATCTAACTATCCTCAAAATTAAAAACATTTAGAGTATAGAAAGCTAACTCACTTTGTAAGTTTCTAAGCCATTTCTAAGACAGGAAAATGGTTAAAAGCTTGAGAGCAAATGTTAGATTTAATTTATATTACCTTTAGCAAATCACCTTAATTTTCTAACATTTCTCCCTATTTCTTTAGTGTAGTAATCTACAGAATACTTTTCTGTTTCTTCAACTGATAATTTGAAGAATTTAAGATGATTATAGAGATGTGAATTTTTTAATTAAAGATCTGTTTTATGCAGGTTTTTCTCTTAGAAATTGTTTTTCTTTTCATGTAAAATAGTTAAGGATTGGATTTTGGTCAGAAGAATTTGTTGGAGATAAATTTCTACTTTTTGCTAAGACGTATTTGTTGGTGCCACCTTTGGATTAGCAGCAGATAATATTCACTGATCTCATGGGAAAAAGTTACTCCTAAAATTCCAAGAACCGCTTTTTCTTCTTCTTTTTTTTTAAATAACTAGTAGTTTTAATTCAGAATTTGCTATTGTAAAAATATGTCAGTTTATTTGAGGAGGGAAAACCAGTGTTCTGGACAGTTCAGTTTTGGGTGTTTATTTTATAAGCAAATATTTTACAATTTGTTTTTTGTTTTACATGATATAGTAAGTGATCAGAGATCCTAGACACTGGTTATTTAATTTTGGTATATTCTAAATTTTCAGAAATTTTCACTGTCTAGTGGCTGAAATGGTATACGAAAAAATCAGGAATTTATTTTTGAAAAATTGATGATGGTAATGTATTATCTAGGTTAATGATTTTATTTTATTTTATTCTTTTAACAAAAGTCAGGGTTTCTAGATGAACACATCCTAACTTTTATATAAAGAGGACTATTATGGGAAACAGCACAAATTAAAGAGAATGTAAATGGAGAAAGAATTTAAGGATTCATCTTCTGCATAAATATCATATTTATTGAGTTCTGAATACTATGGTAATTGTGTATTTACCTAACCCAACTTTCAGCAGTCTCCTGGAAGAGAGATGACCTTCTTAAAGGGGCTATCAGGGACTCTAGGAAGAATACACCAAGCTGTCCTTCTAAGAGGAATATGTACAAGAGGGTCTTCGATTCCTTTCTTTAATGTGGAGAAGGTGGTTTTTAGCTAGAATTGAAATGTCAGGAAATGGATTATTCTCTCCTTTCTCCTCACTTTCATATGGAATATTTTGCTTACAAACTGCATAGAAACAAATGGGTTTTCTTTTTTCACCAATGGATAATATGCAAGTATTGGTAAAGCAAAATGTTAGCAAGTTATCCATTAAGCATGCTTTGAGATATGCAGAAACTGATAGCTGGTTAAGGCAGTGAAAAATAAAACAGACATTTTTCTAGGCAGAACATGAGTAGTGAAAAAAACTGCTTTTAAATCTGTAGTATACATAGAAATCTTAATGCTTCACAGTGGGTTTCTTAACATAGTAAGAATAAACATGAGTAGATAGCAGAACCTGATTAACATTTGAGGGGGCTTAGAAGGCTTTTAAAAGGCTCTAATTGTGGGGAAGTTTAAATTTCAGTAGCATGAATTGACAGCACAAATGGCAACTTTAGATTTTTTTTTCCTAAAAACTAACATTTTATAACCTTAGTAGGTGTCATAGTTCAATTCTGTAATTCTTCTGCTGATTCTTAGTATTTATCATTTCAGAACTACTCATGAATTCTTGTTTGGTGCTCTTGCTGAACTGGTTGATAATGCAAGGTATGTAGTCTTTAGGCATACAGTCTGTGCTTGAAAACTTTCTGGGTCGTTGTGACCTTTGCTTCTGAAGACGTGGGAGGAAGACAATTCTGTAAGCAGCTGTAATTCACTCCTAAGAGGTCTCTTACCCCAAAAGTTTTTTTTTTTTTAAAGATTTTATTTATTTATTCATGAGAGACAGAGAGAGAGAGAAGCAGAGGGAGAAGCAGGCTCCCAAGGAGCAGGGAACCTGATGCGGGACTTGATCCCAGGACCCTGGGATCACGACCTGAGCTGAAGGCAGACGCTTAACCATCTGAGCCACCCAGGTGCCCTGCCCCAAAAGTATTTTTAATAGCAAGTTAGTTGATAATTCTAGTTTACTTGATTGACTTTAATTTGCTTTTCCTAAAAATAATGAGCTTATGACCCCCAAAGTTACCTTCCCTTGTGTATTAGAGCAAGGTAATTGTAGTGAAATGCAGGGAATTAAGATAGAAACTTAGGAGTCAAGTTAATGGGACAGGCAAGAGCTGATTTAATTTGTGCTGTCAGGACAGTACACCATTTAAAGTTTTTAAAATTATGCCACAGTTATGTGTGATCTCAGAATGTATATTTTAAGGTCAGTGACTCCAATTGATCAAAGTGTCTTCTATTGTTAGCAGCTGTGCTTGGAAGAAATTCTTTAGCACTGTGTTATACTAAGTTCTTAGTGATGGAAGTCTATAAATGTTACTGTGTAGGACTGGAAAGAAGTTTGGGTTGGCTCAAAGATAAATAGCAACATCCAAATCAAGATTCTGTTAATAATTATGAAAATATTATCAGTTTTGTTTTTGAATGCAAAGATAAAATTCAGACACATTGCTTATTGACCAAGTGTTGATGAATAATGAAGGAAGAGGGTAAGAGTGGAGAGAAGTACTTTTTTTTTTTTGGTAGAAGTGCTTTCTAAACATCCCCAATTAATGAGCTTGCCGGTAATTTTCTGTCTGTATCTATATCTTATACTATAATCCTGTACCATTATTAGTTTTATTGTTATTCACCGAACTGTTTATGGAAGTGTGCTTGTTAACAGCTGTTTAATCAGAAAACTCCCCATTTTGTTTCAATCCTGGTTGACTCATAATTTTTGTATTTTTTTTAAAAATGCTGTAGCTTAATGGAACGATGTTTGAATTTGCCACTTGTTAGCTTAGTGAGACCATGGTGTGCTGTGGCAGACTGCCTTTTTGTATATCATATGGTGAACTGGAGATTCCTGGGAGTATGTGTTCCTGGTCATGCACACATATTGCCCGTCTTCCTCATATTTGAAACTGTTTTTATGTTTTTGGGAATAGGTACATGTAGAACTGTATGGATTTGAGTGGGTTTTTTGCATTTAGAACTTAAGAAACTCTCTGTGCCTCATTTTCCTTCCTTGCAGTTGGCAGAATTGGACTAGATTAGTTTCAAGCCTTTATTGATGACTGAACTTGTATTTCAGCTGGTGGTTGGAGTCTAATGGAGTGCCCCAACTTCCTTTCTAGGTTAGGGAGGGTAAGATTACAGGCTTGTCAATTAGTCTGCTGACTGTAATGTATATACTATGGGACCTTATTTTTCATAGGTTTTGTGGCAGATAATGTTTTTCTTTCTTTTCAGTATCTTGTACAAAAGAAAAATGGACAAGTTATTGGAACATTTTTTTATGATGGCTATCAAATTAGTGAGAGAAACATAGTTGTGAGTCATTTTTTAGTGTGTAAAGGGGAATGTTCTTTCATTCTCTAGATATTTTTACTGTGAAATCTGAAATCCATATTAAAAAGATGTATCCAGACCCTATGTGTTGTGTGGTTATTTTAAATAATTTAGAGCTTCAGAACTGTTTCACAGACACATAAGGAAAATAGTGTTGCCAAGTATGAAAGGGTACTTTAATGGATACAGAATTTCTATGTGACTTCCTAAAAACAGACTTAAAATAATATGCATCCCACTTAAAGTACTATGTATTTTGATGGTTGATATTTCATATTTCATTCGATCTTGATTTCTTTTGCAGAGATGCGGATGCCACCAGAATAGATATTTACGCAGGTAAGTCAGACGTCAGTCCTTTCTTCTGATGTTCAGTTCTTTGAATGCATGTATGGCTATGCCTAAGAAGAAATGCCTAAGAGCCTGGGGAGATGGCACAATTACTCCAGGTCCTAGGGTAGAAATAGGGCAGCTCTGGTCAGGCATGTAATAGAAACCAAGAATATTGGTGTAAGGAAGCTAACATGTGGTTCCCAGATCTATAGATCTATCTATTTATTTATTAAAGATTTATTTACTTGAGAGAGAGAGAGAGAGAGATAGCACGAGGAGGGAGGAGAGGGAGAAGCAGGCTCCCCGCTGAGCAGGGAGCCTGACTCAGTGCTCCATCCCAGGACCCTGGGATCATGACCTGAGCCACCCAGGTGCCCCCTATAGATCTATTTAGATAGCCACTGAGAGATTTACGGGATGATGGAGTAGAGTAGCGGGGAGTGAAGTGACCAAGTACTGGTGATTTTACTGGTTGGATTACTGATTGGTTGATTTTACTGGTACCTGGAGCCAAAGAGAGATCTTGTTGGAGGCCAGTTTCTCTCTCTGCAACCTCAGTGAAGACTTAGAGAGTTGCTGGTGTCAGTTGCATAAAACATTTGGGTTAACTGGGTTGGCACTGGGGTTTGCTAAGGAGATGTTCTCAGACAGGTGTCAGGAGGAGAGCTGCTTTGCTTGGAATTTAAAGTTTTTTTTAAGATTTTATTTATTAGAGAGAGCGAGTGCACGAGTGGGGGGAGAGACAGAGAGAGGGACAGGCAGACTCCGTGCTGAGTAGGGAGCCTGACGCAGGGCTTGATCCCAGGACCCTGAGATCATGATGCGAGCCAAAGTCAGATGCTCAGCCAAATGAACGACCCAGGCACCCTGGAATTTAAAGATGTTATTAACGGTGTTTCCTGTTTTGCTTATTTAATTGGCTCTGCTGTTTGGTAGTAAGATTCTTTTTTTCTGGAGTGGGTGCAATAGTGGAAGAATTCTTAGTCATTATCACTGGCTTTTTAAAATTTTTAAATTATTATTTTTAGTTTGTTTTCTGCCTGTTAAGTGTATGTACCAGCATGTTTTTGGTCATTTGAATGCTAGAAATTTGGAAGCAAAATAGAGGAAGATGGCTTTTAAATCCAGTTTGGCTAGCATAATACATGTCTCTGACAAACTTTTCTAAAGTCTTGAATAACATTGACTAGCTTCTAAGAAGACTGAAGTGTTTTTGTGGGAATATACACTTACCAAATAACCCATCTTTGTGGACTCATTTCATAAATGGGAACAAGCAAACAACTAAGAGGTAATTTTCAGGACCTCTAATGTTACATAATTTTATGAAGAATCTCCGATATAGGATGACTTTCTCATCCCTGATATACTTTGGCGCAAAGAAAATTCAGAACAGCTGAAAGTCAGCTGTACTGCTTAAATTCTGAAAGCCTTCTGCTCAAAAGGCTATGCCAGAGTGGTGAAAATAAGACTTCTTTTATTTTTAGAGGAAAGGAACAAAGTAAATATCAGGTGTTAGGGATACATCTCAGGCACAGCAAAAGAGTGTTAGAAGATTGTTACTTAAACCCTAAGGCCAAATGGAGGCACCATTCCCAAGTCGCAGTGTGTATCTTACATCTCAAGTGTACTTTAATGAGGAGCAATTACAGCTACCTCTGAAAGAAATGTTGTTTTAATCGTTGCACAGATGGTAAAGCAGAGAATGGGCCTCTACTCCAAGTGATGTTGAAAGGACAAATCATCATAGCTGAGTCTGTCTACTTGAAAGAAGCATTTTAAACACAGGTCATCCCTGCCCCCTCCTACCACCTTTGGTGGGTGAATTTCACTAAGAAAATTTAATCCTTTACACTCAGAATGCAACAGAACAGTTGGATTTCAATTTAAATGACAAAGGACCACTGTGCATTTATTCTGTGCTCAGTGTTCTTACTCCTTTTGTGCTTTGGGAAGAGTCCAGAGAGGATGTGATGGGGCCTTTTCTAAGTTCTCATTAGAGAATTTAAGTCTTAAATTGGAGAAGACAGCACTCTGCAGATGATTAGAGAACAATAACTTGATCTTGAGGGAACTGTCAAGGCAGTTAAGGATTAAATGGTGTGTTAGAAGTACTAAGCACTACAGCATTTTATTTTTATTTTTTATTTTTTTAAGATTTTATTTATTTATTTGACAGAGAGAGAGACAGTGAGAGAGGGAACACAAGCAGTGGGAGTGAGAGGGAGAAGCAGGCCTCCTGCAGAGCATGGAGCCCGATGCGGGGCTCGATCCCAGGACCCTGGGATCATGACCTGAGCCGAAGGCAGACACTTAACAACTGCGCCACCCAGGCGCCCCGCACTACAACATTTTAGAAAAAGACTTGATTTACTCCAAATACCTCAAGATTGGGTATCTTGGCTGAGATATCTTTAACTTCACACTTCTCTTTTTTGCTTTCTTTTTTTTTTTTTTTTAAAGATTTTATTTATTTGACAGACACAGCGAGAGAGGGAACACAAGCAGGGAGAGTGGGAGAGGGAGAATCAGGCTTCCCACGGAGCAGGGAGCCCGATGCGGGGCTTGATCCCAGGACCCTGGGATCATGACCCGAGCTGAAGGCAGACGCTTAACGACTGAGTCACCTGGGTGCCCCAACTTCACACTTTTCTACCTCATAGCCTTGTTAACACATTCAACAGGAGGAATAAAAGCAACCTCATTTTATGAGTACAATGATAAAATTAGTAATATCCTAATACTATAAAGTTCTTATTGTCAGTACACGGGGGAAAGTATTTTCCTGTCTCCCATTTTGAGACTAGAGTGATACTGAACTTGGAAATCCCCTTAAACATCAGATTTAGTTTGAATTCACTAAAAAGTCATGTTTTATTTTTTTTAAAGATTTTATTTATTTATTTGACAGAGAGAGAGAGAGCACAAGCAGGTGGAGTGGCAGAGAGAGGGAGAGGGAGAAGCAGGCTCCAGGAGAAGCAGGCTCCCTGAGGAGCAGGGAGCCTGATGTGGGGCTCGATCCCAGGACCCTGGGATCATGACCTGAGCCGAAGGCAGTTGCTTAACCAACTGAGCCACCCAGACGCCCTTAAAAAGTCATGTTTTAAAAGAAGGGTGACAAAGGAACCAGACTCTTAAAGTGTGGAGGTATTCATTTACCCAAAGCATTGGGGGCCAGACAGTAATGTGCCTGTCAGAAGTAGACTCCGTATTTTTACTGACTTTCCTGACTTCCTTGGATAGGCAATGCCATTCCTCAAAGAAAGATCCCCTTTGTGATGCTAAACCATGGTTAGTAAGTGGAAAATTAGAGCATATGTAACTGAAATGAATACTGCTCAGATTGCAAAACAATGAAGAACTTGGATATCATTTTATTACAACTTCTGTTAAGGACAATATTATTTTTCATCTCTGATTTTTGCCTTACCAGTTCCATTTTACATTTCTTCTCCTGCTTCTTTCTGTCTTCTCCCCAGTGGGAGTTGGATGATGGGGATGATGTCAGGCTAATTTGGAGAAGCCAGACTTGGTCATATTGGGGGGAGCTTAGATGTGCATCTTTCCAAACTCATTCTGATAATCTTACATAGCTGCTACTAGGATCTGAAGCACAACTGTAAAGAAGGCAGTTTGGCTTTGCCTTCCCTTTCTTGCTTCCAAGATGTATGATGGGAGTGGGAGCATACAACACCCAGCTGCTTAGACTCTCCTCTCTCTAGAACTCCCCCTCCTTCATCAAAGTCCTTTGCTTGGAGGCTTCAGATAACACTCAACTGACTGATAAGTAAATATCAGGTGTTAGGAATACATCTCTAACTGGTGGGATGTCTAGGGAGATAGTTTTGAGCCGGGAAACCTTCTGGTTCTTGATTCTCTAGCTTAGTGCTTCTCACAGAGTGGTCCACTGATGGACAGCATCAGCATCCCCTGGGAGCTTGTTAGAAATCAAATTCTCAGGTACCTCCTCAGACCCACACAGACTTTCTGGGGTAGAGCCCCAAATCTGTATTTTTAACAAGCTCTTCAACTGATTCTTAACGCACAATACATTTTACTCTAGCTGTTACTCTTAGTCTCCTGCTTAAACCCTTCTGCTTAACTGATTTGCTACAGAGAGTAGCATCTACTGGACTGTAAGCTCCATGAAGGCAGTGGTCATATCTGCATTGTTTACTACTGTCTTCATCACAGAGCCAGGAACAGAGGAAGTGCTCAGTAAATATTCATTGAATAAACAAGTGATGAGGATAAGCATTGTAGCCAGGTGATGATGCCACATTGCCTGTTTCCAAAGTTGAAGAAGTGACTGCTGTGTCAGCTAGTCTCTCTTGGCCCTGAGGCAGTATTGCATATGATCATGTGGACTTGGGTACTACTAGCTGCTTACAGGCTGTTGATCACTATGTGGCCAGGAGGGTCCTCTACTGGTGGAACTTTTACCCTTGTAAACCACATGAAAAATATTTAAATGAAGTCCTTGAACAAGGAAGGGATCTCAGGCCCACTGTTAAGTGATGAGTACCTAACAAACACAGGGGCCTTGCAGTAATTTCCTATATAGTGTTCAAGGAATGCTAGTTGGCTTGAACCAATTTCTAGATTCCAACGCAGAATCTTCGTGAATGTTTTATGGCTGAAGTGTACAACAAATGACTCTTGGCTAGATTTAGAACACTTTTTTTTTTTTTTTTTTACCATGCTCTGTATCTGTCCTAGTTTGAGTCTCCATGTAATACTTTGCTTCCTCCAGAAGGAAACTTTGAAGCCTTTTTGCACTTTTCTTGCACTTGCTCATGCTTACTAGATCTCACTTGGATTCTCCACACTGATAAGAGGCACTGCCATAAGGAGAAATTTTCTTATCTACCTTAAGTACTTAATAGGAAGGTCCTTGCTCTTGAACTTTTAAGAAGCACTTGTTATTGGGCGCCTGGGTGGCTCAGTCGTTAAGCGTCTGCCTTCGGCTCAGGTCATGGTCCCGGGTCCTGGGATCGAGTCCCACATCGGGCTCCCTGCTCTGCGGGAAGCCTGCTTCTCCCTCTCCCACTCTCCCTGCTTGTGTTCCCTCTCTCGCTGTGACACTCTCTGTCAAATAAATAAATAAAATCTTTAAAAAAAAAAAAAAAAAGAAGCACTTGTTATTAATGTTTCAGCAAAGTCAGCTTCCTGAACACTTAGTGATACTTGAAAATCTGTGGTTTATAGTACTTTTAAAATAGCGTTTTAAATTACACTAACTAGTCAATTTAACAGAAGGTGATCATGACTCATTTGAATCTTTAGCCCAAGGGGAGGACAAAGAGTATTTTAAACTGGGATTCCTCAGCTTTGATAGTTCTATAAAGTTGGTGAACCACAGCTTGCGGGGAACAAAAAAGTACTTGGGAACTAGGCATCATAGCAGCCTTGGGCTTGTTCCTATAGTCCCTTACGTAGACTTTTTCCTTTTAGTAGAAGTGATCTCCTGATTCCAAAGCCTGTGCTGTTCTCCTTTGTCAGCATAATCCTCATCATTGGTCATAGGCACCTTGGAAACTCCAATATCGCCCCTTTCCCTATTTGGGAATCTCTTCTTTAGTGTTTGTGACATGCTTAGACCCATACTACTTTGAGTAACCACCTGCTACTACAGAAGACAGCTACTGAAAGAAGAGGTTCTTCCACCCACTGAAATGGCAGCCAGTTTGTTTTGTTCCCCTTCTGTCAAACAAGAAGCCCTGCCATGGCTGCACTGTCAAAGGACTTAATTCTCTTGTCAAAAGACTATTCTTCCTTCTAGTTGAGCAAGTCCAGCTGGGAACCAGGCAGTTCTCACTGCATCTTGCGCCATCATATTCCTAGGTTAGGGAGCCATTTCAGGTACCCATAACAAGCAGAGGGTGTGGCAATGAATACAGATAACCCAGAAATTCAGGTTAGCCTGGGGATAGTCATACACAGACTTAGCAATTTCTCTGGATAGTAACTGCCACCACTGTGCCCACAGCATGTCTGGCTTGATCACATTGTCTGAAGGCTACCCCAGATTTAACCCACAAAGGAGATGCCCTGTTGAATTTTTTTTTTTTTTAAGATTTTATTTATTTATTTGAGAGAGAATGAGAGAGAGCAAGCACATGGCGGGGGGGGGGGAGGGTCAGAGGGAGAAGCAGACTCCCTGCCGAGCAGGGAGCCCGATGCGGGACTCGATCCAGGGACTCCAGGATCATGATCTGAGCCGAAGGCAGTCGCTTAGCCAACTGAGCCACCCAGGCGCCCGATGCCCTGTTGAATTTGAGCAATGTTGATAAGGTACAGTGTGTTGTAGTTGGAGTACTTTAGTGACTTGGGATCCATAGCAGAGGGCAGAGGTGGAAGTAATCCAGGTGGAAGAGGCAGAAGGATGATTGAGGTTTGCATTAAATACATGCATATTCAGGGGTGCCTGGGTGACTCAGACAGTGGACTCAGATCATGACCTCAGAGTCCTGGAATCGAGCCCTGAGTTGTGCTTCCTGCTTGGTGGTTAGTCTAGTGGACCAGGTATTTCCTGCCCTCAAAGATTCTGTTAATCTTTGTCATTAACTAGAAAGCATTGGAGAACCTTTGATAGTAATATCCACCCTCAAGGACCCTGACATTTACCTTCTAATAGACTATTAGGAGGAGGAGCTAGGTTTGTCCTAACCTTTTTGGGCCAAATGTCACATTGATACACCTTTTGACCTTACCCATGTTGCTATCCTCTGGTAGGTAACTACCCAGTAATGGCAACTGCTTCTTTTACAGAAAGGCGAGAGGACCTTCGAGGAGGATTTATGCTTTGCTTTTTGGATGATGGAGCAGGAATGGATCCAAGTAAGTGATGAGATTTCTTTGGGGAGGATGTAACTCCTTTTACTAAATACTCATTGTGTTGTTTTTCTGTTGCCTTACTATTGTGATTAGAAGATCCACCTGGAGAGAGAGAGAGGTCTGTTGCAACATCTCAGGCTTAATTCCACTAATGGATTTGCCAGGTCTTGTCTTAGCATGGGAGATAGGATCTGAATGGCAACCTGAAGTCAGTCAAATTACCTGTCTTTTGACATTGTATTTATCATCTTGCACAACATCCTGGAGCTGGAACTACAGAGGGCTCCCTCAGCCTTCATACCATGTTTTGGTAACAGAATAAACTCATAGTGATGGTGGTACTAACAGGCCAGTCAGAGGTTGTCTCCATTTGCCTCATGGTTCTGAATTTCCTTGGGAAGTGGTTTTAGTAGACACACAGCCCTGCTTAGATTTAACAAGGCTCAGACCTTTTATTTTTGAGGATCCTGGGGAAGAAATGCAAATGCTTCACTTTCTTTTGTGCCTGTCACTTCAGGTGATGCTGCCAGTGTGATCCAGTTTGGGAAGTCGGCCAAACGAACACCTGAGTCCACCCAGATTGGGCAATATGGGAATGGGTTAAAATCGTAAGTATACTAGAAGCCTGTTGTAGGACTCAATACAGAATCAAGCAGTACTCTCCTGCTGTTGTCCAATGAAAACTTTGTATTCCTTATCCTTCCATTAGTGTAACTCTGGAGCAGAAGAATTAAGTCAGAAAGAAGTAGTTTTAAGACTTAGCAACTGTCGTTCAGCCAAGTTTTCCTTACAGATTGAAAGAATGAACATCCTAAACATTTGGGGTGAGAGAAGCAAGCTGTAGGTTTCTCTTGGCAATGTGCTCTGGAACCGCATTTCTCCTCCTGATGAAAATTCTTATTTTTACCCTGTGGTTTGAGGATGCAAGTGGTTGTTTTGTGGGGTTAGGATGTATCTGAGATGCTAAAGGGGTTGCTTCATGGCACAGCAGTGTGCCTTGAGCACCTGCCACATGTCATGTTTTGAGCCAGGCACTGGGGATCCAGAGTGAGTAATAGAGATCTGAACCTTCCCTCTCAGAGGACATGGTCTCCACTTCTGTGTCCTGCTAGACCCTGTAGCAGGGACCTACCTAATGTCTTCAGATCCTTTGGGACTTCTTTCTCAGCCCTTGGTTCCCACTTGTTTGTTGTTTGGAATGTGTTGTTCTGATTTTGAGTGAAGCCCCAAGAGAAAGGTTTCTATTTCTGAAATGCTCACTTCCAGCTGTACATCCCTTTGGATGGAATAAGATATAGTGGAATTGGAGTTTGTACAAATGGAATTCTGAGTCACGTTTCTAGTCTTGCTGTGGAAACATGTTGTTTTGTTAGAGGGTGTGTTTTGGTCAGTCAACAGTATCAGTTGTCCCTCACATGCAGCATGCTTTAGATGTGTGGCAGGGAAAGAGAGTGCTTCCAAAGACATCGGAGACATGGTATCTGGACTTTCTGATTTGTCTTTCAGGGGAGAAACCAAATGGTAATAACAAGTACTTACCATGTGCCAGGCACTGTGCTAAAAACTTTACTTGGATGATCTTATTTAATCCTCCTATTCTCATTTTTTTTTTTTAAGATTTTATTTATTTATTTGACAGAGACAAAGCAAGAGAAGGAACACTAGCAGGGGGAGTGGGAGAGGGAGAAGCAGGCTCCCCGCTGAGCAGAGAGCCTGATGCGGAGCTGATCCCAAGACTCTGGGATCATGACCTGAGCCAAAGGCAGATGCTTAATGACTGAGCCACCCAGGCGCCCCTATTCTCGTTTTTTATTCTCATTTTCCAATGAAGAAATTGAGATTTATGGGGATGAAGTGATTTGCCCAGAGGTATACAAATATTTGCCTGAGTGTAGAGCTGAGATATGAACCAGGTCCTTTTGACTGCAAAGCTGGAGCTGTTATCCATCTCACTTCAGTCATGCAAATTAAAATTCAAATCTCACCTCAGCCACTTAATTATTTCTCTGAGCCTCAGTTTCCTCCTTTGTAAATTGGGATTATAATACGTGCCAAGTAAGTTAAGGATTAAATGCTGTCATTGCTTTGAGAGCCTTAGACTAGTTTCTGGATTCTTATTTTATTTCTCCTTTGTTCTTTCCATTAGCAGATTCCTTGTCTAGGGTAGGGTCTAGGAATCTATAGGTTAGGTTCCCCAAGTGATTCTGTTGCTGGTGCCCTAAATCCCAATAACTGAGGTCTCTTAGAGTCAGTGTGAAAGAAGTCCTGACTTCCCATCTGGATTGTAGGCCAGCCTCCTCCTAGCTGGTCTTAGCAGTTTTGTGGCCGCAGGCAAGCTGTTTCACGTCTCTGAATATCTGTTTTCTAATTTAGAAAATGGGGTTCTATTCTCTGACATTCTCCCTTACAGAGCAAGTTTGAGGAGCAAACTAAATATGACTCTGACAGTACTTAGAAGACCAGAAAGTTGAGAGTGTTGTCATTAGCATATTTTAGTAGCATGAGTTTTGTAAAGGATGCATTGAGTTGGAGCCATCTAGTGTTGAGAGTATATTTATTTTGAATCCAGAAGTTGAATAAGAGTTTCAAGAGGGAGTGATTTATGGTGAGAATAGGGCTGAGAAGCAAGGAAGCCAGCAGAGAGGTGGCATTTTGGGGGTTGTTGCTCTTTAGCCTCCAAGGTCAGGATCAAAGAGGGAAGAAGGAAGCACAAAGTGAGAGTTTTTGCCAAATTAGGGCAAGAGCAAGCTTTGACAGAAGGCAAGGTAATATGCCTCATTTTGCTATCCATAAGCTTCAGGGAAGAAGGAGGAGGGCTGTGAAATCTGTCAGAGGAAGCAGCATTGCCAGCATCTTGGGAACTGGAAGAGGAGAAAGAGAACTTGGCAGCCCCTGCTGCCAAGTGTCTCTGGATAGTGTCCTGGGCGTTTTCCTGAGCATTTGGGGAAATGGGACATGGCATTCATTTGTGTGTTTGGCATGCCAGCCTGGTTTGTATTTGTACATACAAGAGAGTAATGAGGCTTCCCACTGCCATCCCCTCCCTGGGGTATTATGAAGACTAATGAGATAATAGCCATAAAGCCCCAGAAGCTGCTCAGAAGAAAGGAGCTAAACAGCCCCATTGTTCACCGGGCAATGAACTGTTGGAACTTCTGCCCTGTTCCATGTTGCCCAGAAAGGCCTGTCCTTGCCTGTTTCTCAGATGATTTAATGTGGCCAAATAGGAAGGAAGCAGTTGATTCCATTTGGACTTTTGCGTTGTGGAACCCAGCCTCAAGGCACATTTCCCAGAAACCAGTTGCATCTAAAAGCAGGGACTGCCTCTGTCATAAGGAGCTTGAGGTGGCGAAACAATTTTGAGACAGAAGATGGTTGTAGTTACAGGACATGAGCCAATTATAGGCCTTCTTAAAAACTATGATTAAGAATTATGTTGTGTATGGTTAGCCCCTATATTTGGCTGAGCCTTGGGATCATACTGGGTTTTTTTTTTTTTTGAGGATTTATGAGTGTAGACTGTGGGCTGTGCCCTTGATGGTACTGCCATTTGATGAGTGAATGAGAATGGAGTTTGTGTCAACAAAGGAAGGATCAGATGGGAACTGGATGTGGTCAGCATGGACGATGATGTGTTGAAGGTATCGGTTCCTGGAGAGAAATCTGATAGTGGCACAAAGAGTACAGCAGTCCTTGTGTAGCTGAGATGAACCTGGTGCATGGGCAGCAGGGTTACTTACCATGTGCAGCAGGTCAGGAGTTAACTTGGGGCTGACGATCCGTGGTGAATGTGCCCTAGAAGGGTGGTGGGGAAGCCTTGTACGGTGGGTAAGTGTGGTCAGGCTGGTTGTGAGGAACAATGAAGGCTGATGGAAGAGCAGAGGGAATGAGGACTGTGGACCTCATCTCAGGGTCCTGCGAGGGAGGGAGGTCTTGAGGAGAGCCCTCTAAAGGCAGTTTCAGTCATGTCCAGAGGGTGAATTTGCTCCTTTTTCAGGTGAGTTTTTGAATCCCTGGGATTCAAAATCTCCCTGGGAGAATAACCCATTTCTGCTTTCCTTTCAGGGGCTCAATGCGCATTGGGAAGGATTTTATACTCTTCACCAAGAAGGAAGACACCATGACCTGCCTCTTTTTGTCTCGGACCTTTCATGAGGAGGAAGGCATTGATGAAGTAGGTCCTGTCCTCGTGGCCTAAGTCATTATTTCACATTTCCTGGGTCTGCTTAGGTTATTTGCGATGCTGGGCTCATTGGGGTTGCAGGATTGCGGCCATGCCTCCTTATGGGATTAGTTGGTTGGATGAACTGGTTGAGGGGTTAGGCAGACCTCTTAGTGTGAGAGGAAGTAAAAATCTCAAAGCTTTAGAGAACAGTTGTCCTGTTTCTGAGAATGAGGCCATCAAAATGGCAGGAACCAAGAGTTGGATTTGCAGCTTCTCTAGAGCTGCAGCCTAAATTTAGTCTGGTGGAGTGTTAGTATGAAGAGTTTTATCAAGGGGAGTGTTTTGGCTTCTTTACTGTGGGTGGAGATCACAACCTGCAGTAGTAATAGGAACTAATAATAGGAGCAGCACTGTCTTTCCCATATGATGGTGATTTTGTGGAATGTGCTATGAATGTATTTTCCTTTTGAAGGAAATATGTTGCTTTAATCGTTTATATCAGAAGGAACAAGTAAGATACTTGTGGGGCCTGGGCAGGTAGTGAAGCAGGTGAGTATATGGAAAACATCATTGTAAGTTCTTTGCTAAATGACAGATGACACTTAGCCCCAGCTCATCATTGCTATGCTGGAAAGAAGTCATAATGAATTTGGAATATTCTCATTTTAAAACATTTCAGTAATTAGATAACTATGTAAGCTAAACACATGCTCAGTTGATTCTCTTTGTGGCCTGGTGGCTCAGACATCTACGGAGTTGGTCTGGTGAGGTCTGTGCTTCCTCACCAGAGGGGGTATCAGAGACAGTTTTAGTTTGCCCAGCCTCAGACTGGACTCTTCCTCCTTTCATGTGTGGGAGGTGGTGGCCAGAGCTGTAGAGAGGGGGCTGAGAGGGTGTGCAGAGAGAAATCCCCAGATAGGTGAATTTAGTCAGGGTTTCAATCTGATTAATCTCTCTTGGTTAGCTGTGATTAGATTTGTGCTGGCCCTATTTAGATAATAAGCTTAAATCATAGCAAATTAGTTCATGGTGGGAATGAAAGGCGGTCTTTTTCCACCACCTTTACTTGGTAAGCCAGTGGATTTGTTTGCCTTTTTGGTGCACTGTGTCAATTCATCTATCATACATGCAGTGAGAGAAGTGCTACAGCTGGAAAGAACGCTCCTGGTAGAAGGTAGGGCAGGAGAACTTTTGCCCAGGCTGTGGTTTTCAGGAATGTTTCCTGATGGACTGTGGGTAGTGGGAGGAGGGTGGTCAAGTCCATGGAAATAGTCTGTTAAAGGCCCTGAGGGCTGGTGAGGGCTGTGGGAAGGGACTTGGCAGAGGGGCTACCTGAAGAAAGGTGGTGGCCTCTGGAGAGCAGGGAGGGCTAGGTCAGGCTTGACCTCAGGGCCTTGGTGAATATAGGACTTTACTAACACCAGCCTTCAAAGGGAACTTAAGCAAGGGTGTGGCAGTATCAGATTCCCTTTTAAGATGATCAGTTTGGTGGGGCCCCTGGGTGGCTCAGTCAGTTAAGGATCTGACTCTTGATTTCACCTCAGGTCGTGATCTCAGGGCGTGAGATGGAGCTCCGCATTGGGCTATGCCCAGTGCTGAGCCTGCTTTAGATTCTCTCTCTCCCTCTTTCCCCCTTCCTGCCTGCTCGCACTCTTTCTCTCTTTAAAAAAAAAAAAAAAATCATTTTGTTATTGTGTGGTGATTGGATTGAAAAGACAGGTGTTGGAGTAAACTAGCTGAAATTCCCTAGCTGTGTGTAGCCTGGTAGGACCACAGCAGGGAGGTCCTTTAACATGTGGGACCCACAAATCTGGTGTTTGATCAGTGGAGAGGGGAAAAGGGAGGAGGGTCATGAATGATGTAGGTTCTGGTGTGGTAGCTGGGGCATGATGTGGGCTGTTTGGAGCTGGTGAAGAATGAAAGAAAATAGCATCCTCCTCTTTGGTGAAGAGTAAGTTTTCCTGGACATGGAAAGTTAAGTTTGGGTCGTGAGCTTGAGGGGAGGCCTGGGCTCTGGGATCCTTGGTAGCAGATGAGCTCACCTAAAGGAGTGTTCAGAGTGAGAAGAGGACCTGGGATCTCAGGGATGCTCTCCTCCAGGGAGAGGAGAAGGTGGCAGAAAAGACAGGAGTGACCAGATGGGTAGGAGGAAAACCAGGAGTGTGGTGACATTGAAATTAAGGAAGTGTCCTGATGGCCGGGATGGGTGCCAGTGGAAGTGTATGCTGTTTAAAGCAATGCTGTTATCACCTGGGGCTGCTGTGAAGAATGGGGGTTGCAGAGTCAGGTATAGATTCACAGAACACAAATGGAATTCAGTTCCCCGGGTGAAAAAGCTAGGTTGAAATTTTTTCCTTACTTGGTGCTAGAAGGTCACTATTTTGGATTGTACTCCAGTGCAAACTCGGCCAAGATTTCAAAATAAGATCATTTTCTACTGGGTAGGAATGTGTCCAAACCAGCTCTAGGGATGAATACCATTAGGCATAAAGCTTCTTAGAAACCAGTAAAATGTCTCAGAACCCTTAACAGTTTATCACCCCGGCACTTTTTAAAATACAGAATCCCTTTATTCTTAGGGTGGGCCATTTGATTTGAGCTTTTAGGTGCCTGGACTGCTTCGCTTTACAGAGGGAATGAAGCAGTCCTCTATCCACAGGGCTCCTGGGCAGCTGGCTGGGAGAGAAGCACATCTAAGCCTCTGGGTGCGGCACTTAAGGGTAGGATTTTAGAAGAAAGAGTAGGATTTTTTTTCCCCCCCGTTTTATTGAGGTACAATTGAGAAAGGTAGGACTTTTAAAAACATAAGATTAAATTCCATAATATGGAATTGTGTATTAAAATACAGGTACAGTTGAGAGAATAATTATAAAGTGAACACCTAGGTAGTTGCCATAATAGACTGATACCAGAAGCCCCCAGTGTGTCCCCTCACTAATTGTATTCCTTATTGTACCTCTGAAGGAACCGCCTTCAGGTAACTTTTGTAATGATTATTTTCTTGTTTCTCTTTATAGTTTTGGCACCTGTGTTGTGTATGCATTCTTGAATAATAGTTTACTTTGTCTATTTTATGACGTTTATTTAAGTGGGCTCATACCATAGATTTTTTTTTTCTATTTTGTCTTTTTCACATAACGTTTTTTGGTTGTTTTTGTTTTTGTTAGGGGGAGGGGCAGAGGGAGAGAAAGAATCTCAAGCAGGCTCCATGCCCAGCACAGAGCCCAACATTGGGGCTTGATCTCATGACCCTGAGATCATGACCTGAGCCAAAACCAAGAGTCGGACCCTTAACCGACTGAGCCACCCAGGTGCCCCTCACATAACGTTGTTTTTGAGATCCATGCATGTTGATGCTGATAGCTGTTAGTTTGTTCATCGTCATTACTATACACTATTCCATTGTATAAATATATGATAGTGTAATTTATCCATTCTGTTTTGGATATTTACATTACTCTTACATGTTTGCTGGTACATATGTGCAGAAGACACTCCCAGAACCTGGGAGTGGAATTGCTGAGTTGTATGTTTATATGTATCTTCACATTCACTAGATAAGTACAAATATCTTTTCAGTAGTAGAGAGAGAAGAATTGATATCAAATTGGGAGAATGGCCAGGGCCATCCCAAGCAGGGAACTGCTCATGCAAAGACCCCCAGGGCATAAATCAGCATATCCCAGAGGACCTTCTGCTGTGAGACTGAGGCTTGGGAAGGGCAGAAGCCACAGAGCCTCTGGTGTCAGGCTGCAAAGCTTGGACCTCACCTCTGGGGCAATGTGGAGCCACTGTGGAGAGGGACAAGATGGATGCACATTTTGGGGGAAGGCTATTCTGGGTCTTCCCTCAAAGTGTCTGTCCGTGCTTTCTCCAAAGGTGATAGTCCCATTGCCCACCTGGAATGCTCGGACCCGGGAACCTGTCACAGACAACGTGGAGAAGTTTGCCATCGAGACAGAACTCATCTACAAGTATTCTCCCTTCCACAATGAAGAGGAAGTTATGACTCAGTTCATGAAGATTCCTGGAGACAGTGGTAAGTAGACTTGAGCTTTACAGGCCCTAGAATCCAGGAGCCATGAGTGGTGTGGGGATGATCAGGTGGTGCCTGGCAGGACAAAAGGAGGATTTGTTTCCCAGGAACACTGGTGATCATCTTCAATCTCAAACTCATGGATAATGGAGAACCAGAGCTAGACATAATCTCAAATCCAAGAGATATCCAGATGGCAGAGACTTCCCCAGAGGGCACGTGAGTATGGCTGGGAAGGGAGGGAAGGCTTGGAACTGGTGGTCCATTTTCTCAGGGAGAGAAAGCTCAGGAGGTGACTTTAATAGCGAAGGGGGGGTGGGGCTCATTCCCTGAATTTCCCAGTATTGGAGTTGAAGCTGAGCACTCCACGTTTTCTTACCACAAACAGAAGGATGAATAGGACAGCAGCTCCTCAGCTAAGCCAAAAGAAAAGATTGCCCCGACTCCTTGATTCCTTGCCCCGACTCCTTGATTCCTTGCCCCAACTCCTTGATTTGGAAGCCGAGCCTAGAGACAGGATGGGTTTTGCTGGGTCTGTGGTGGGGCCAGTGGTAAGGTGGGGTCCGATGTCTGTGGAGTGCCTGTGCTGGGGATGTGAAGGGTGTGCTCCCCACACTGAGGGAGCAGCCCTTCAGGGTGGTGAGAAAAGCCAACATGTGAGGTGGAGGGTCTGCAGAAAGGCTGTCCTTTCATATCTTTGGTCAAGCTGGTTGTGGGGTGGGTGATAGCGCTCCTCTATTCCTGCCACCTCTAGGAAGCCAGAGCGGCGCTCCTTCCGTGCCTATGCTGCCGTGCTTTATATTGATCCCCGGATGCGGATCTTCATCCATGGGCACAAGGTGCAGACCAAGAGGCTTTCCTGCTGCCTATATAAGCCCAGGTAGGGGTCTGCCCACCCTGGTCTGCTGTTCCCTTGAGCTGAGGATGGGGCCGTGGCTGTATTTCTCGGGGGCATTGTTTGAGTGATGCTAGGAGTGATGATAAGAGGCTCTGACAGTGTTGACTGCATTTGGGCCTTTAAGCTACTTGTGATTTACTGCATAGAAACTTCTAAGTCCTGAGGGAGGGACACAGATGGCTGATGAGCTGTGGAGGTTGGCTGGTGAAGCTTGTTGAGTGTGAGTGCCTTCTGTGACATGGAGGGTACCCTGCCTGGCACAATGAACGGTCTGAGCCTCTCAGCTTCAGGGCCAAGGGGCCTTTAGACACTACACAGGAGAGAGCAAAGGCCCTGGCTGATTGCTGAGATTTGTTTCTGCTGTGGGATTATTGATACACCTGGTGAGTAGTGGGGTTGCTTATCAAAGATGGAGCAAGGGGCAAGTGGAGTAAGGAATTGGGTATTTTGCTACAATAAGTTTGTTTTGGGGGCGGCTGGGTGGCTCAGTCCATTAAGCATCTGCCTTTGGCTCAGGTCATGATCCCGGGGTCTTGGGATCGAGTCTTGCATCGGGCTCCCTGCTCAGTGGGGAGTCTGCTTCTCCCTCTGCCTGCTGCTCCCCCTGCTTGTGCTCTCTCTCTCTAATAAATAAATAAAATCTTAAAAAAAAAAAAAAAAGTTTGTTTTTGACTCATCATGAGTACAGTGCAGCTTGGAAGGGAGCAGGAAGGCAGGGTATTCCTGAGTTGCTCAGGTTGCTGCCTGACCCTGCTGCTGCTTGGGTCTTCAGGTTGCTTTTTCCTCCTGTTCAGGATGTACAAGTACACATCAAGCCGTTTCAAGACTCGTGCAGAGCAGGAGGTGAAGAAAGCTGAGCATGTAGCACGGATTGGTAATGTGCACCCCCCACCCCCACCCCCAGGCAGGAGGGGGGATCAGGTTGGGATTGTCTGGGGGATACTTGTCGTGGCCAAAGCAGGATCCAAAAAAAGCTCTGTCTAGCACCCAGGGGCAGGCTGTTCTCCTGAACCACGGGTCTAGTTCCTTTTGCATACCTGCATGCCAATCCTCTCAGCAGTTTTTCTTCCCAGACTAGTTTCTCTTCATCAGCCATTTATAGGGACTTACCTAAAACAGTGTCAACTCCTTGGCTTGCTCAGAGTGAAGAATCTCACACTTTTCTTTGGCCCAAATACTTGTGAAATTGGTTTTCCTGACTCCAGGGCAAACATCTCAAGGTCTCTCATGCTGACAGGGCTTCTTGGCTGCTTGATGGAGAGTGATTGGCTGAGGACTTGGATAACTTCCAGCTCCTGCTGAGGATGTAACTCTGGTTACCTTGGGCAGTTTTTGACCTGTTCTGGTTCATTTATAAAGTTTAAAAAACATGTCTCAAGTATAAATAGTGCCTGTTTTGTTTGGGACCTCCAAACAAAAGGATTTTCCTTTTTGTACTGACTGCATTCCAGGCAGGGAGGTTGGAGGTTGCTCTCCCAGCTCTCCTGTTCCTTGACAGTGTATACACATCTTGCCCAGCGGGTACTACACTGGGATTCAAGAGGGATGATTAAGAGTTTTTGAACCTTTGTATTTCTTATTCATGGTTTCTTCTGGATTTCAGCTGAGGAGAAGGCACGGGAGGCAGAGAGCAAAGCTCGGACCTTAGAAGTTCGCCTAGGTGGAGACCTCACGCGGGACTCCAGGGTAAGGCCCCAGATCTGAGCAGCTATTGTCTAGCATTTCTGGCATTAGGATCCCAGAGCTGGCCTGGCTTAGCCCCAGGCTAGTCATGAACTCCTTACCCTAAAGCTGCAAAATGGATATTAAGGTGTTTCCATAATCATTATTGAACACACTGTATGGTAGAATCTTAGCTAATCATTTCAACATCCTAACAACCATATGGAGTGGCCACTGTTAGTATTCTCAGTTTATAGAAAGGGAGATTGAAGTGAAGATGGTCACTTGCCCCAGGTCACACACAGTAGTGAAGGAGTCTGAGCAGTTCTCTACCCCTCTGTCTGACACTATTATTTCATTTGGGGGTGTTTCCTCCTTCCATTTCAGCCTGGTCAGGTAAAGCATAGCTTTTGAGTTTGTCCCCATCAAGGCCATTTTCTGTAGAAAAGAAGTAAATCTCAGAGTGTGTTTTTGATTCCATGTGATTTAAAGTGAGAAGTTTCAGATGTTTGTTATAATATTGCCTGCTGTGGTCCAGAGCGCCTCCTCCCCTCACTTGGTGCCAATGTACATTTCCAGGTGATGTTGCGGCAGGTCCAGAATACAGCCATTACCCTGCGCAGAGAAGCTGATGTCAAGAAGCGGATCAAGGAGGCCAAGCAGCGGTGAGTGCCAGGGCTGGGTTTTTTGTTTTTGTTTTTTTTTTAAGATTTATTTGTCAGAGAGAGTGTGAGTGCACACAAGCAGGGGGAGCGGTAGGCAGGGGGAGAAGCAGGCTCCCCGCTGAGCGAGGAGCCCAATGCAGGACTCGGTCCCAGGACCCTTAACCAACTGAGCCACCCAGACGTCCCTGGCTTTTGGTTTTTTAAAATTATGTAGCTTTTATAGTCAAAATTAAAGAGCTTAAGGAATCCCTCCCCACCCTGTGAGGTCGCTATTCTGTCACAAAGATTGCTTTGAGAGCCATTGATGTGACCCCAAATGCTTGTCAAATGCCCACTGCAGATTTTTTCCTGAGCTAGGAAAAGGCAGGGTGGGCCCACTCCCTGGTAGACCTCCCTTCCTGGCAACTCCCATTCTTTCTTCCTTCCCTCTCTCCCTTTCTTCTTTTTTTTTTTTTTTCTCTCTCTCTCCCTCTCTTCTCTCCCTTCTCTCTCTTTCCTTCTTTTTTCTCTTTTTTCTTTTTTCTCCTTTTCATTTAAAGGATATATAAAATGCTTATTATATAAAACTAGTAAAACAGATCATTTTTAGAAATACCATTTTAAAACTCCCTTACATTTGTACCATTTAAATCACATCTGGTAATATCTACTCTTAATATTTTATCCCTGGTTACAAATGTGGAGTAATGCTGTAGATTGAGTTTTGGACCTTTTTCATCGAGAGTGTGCACTTGTCCTGACTGATTAGATTATCTCCGTGTCCCACCTTATGTCTGGAGCTTCTTGGGGCTCTGGACATTGAATTCCTGGGTTGCTGCTTCTTGGCCTTCCTGCCACAGGCATACATTTTTGGATTCTTCTGAGTGAGTGTGCTGCTCATCCATCTGCTTTTCAGTTCCATGATTTTGTTACTTATCACATGAGGGTCTCTTCCCTCACGTACGTGTTCATTGCTCTAGTGAATTTTTACCTTTTTAAAATTTATTACTGTCACATTAGTGGAGTAGGTATGATCTTGTGTTTAGTCCACCATGTAACTATCTTCACAGAGATTTGCAACAGCTTCACAGTATTCCATTCATACTTAAATCTTAACGTCCCTGTTTTGTTACCAGAAGCTAGCCAAAGTCACATGCTTTTAATTAGGGATGCTTAGAGTCACTGCACAGTACCATCTCCCTACCAAGTCTGATGGGTTACACGTTGACTGTAAATGCAAAACTTACTCCTTAACATGTCTCAAGTTTAAGCTTAAGCTAACATATCTTCAAGAACATGGTGTTTGTGTATTCATGGGTTGATCTGCTTAAATTTATATTGTGTCTTCTCAGAGCACTTAAAGAACCTAAAGAACTGAATTTTGTTTTTGGGGTCAACATTGAGCACCGGGACCTGGATGGCATGTTCATCTATAACTGTAGCCGCCTGATCAAGATGTATGAAAAAGTGGGCCCACAGCTGGAAGGGGGCATGTGAGTATTGCCCAAGGAGAGTTTTTCAGCCCGAGGCAGTGGGCCAGTGGGGTGACAGAGTTGTGTCTTTTTTCTCCCTGCAGGGCATGCGGTGGGGTTGTTGGGGTTGTTGATGTGCCTTACCTGGTCCTGGAACCTACACACAACAAGCAGGACTTTGCTGATGCTAAGGAGTACCGGCACCTGCTGCGGGCGATGGGGGAGCACCTGGCACAGTATTGGAAGGACATTGCCATTGGTAATTCCCTTTCTGTTCACTTCCAACCTTAGAATACCCTTAGTGCCCAAGGATGTAAATTTAGGAAGAGCGAAAGGCTGGCTCCTAATATGTGTGGGTTTCCTTTCCAGCCCAGAGGGGAATCATCAAGTTCTGGGATGAGTTTGGCTACCTCTCTGCCAACTGGAACCAGCCCCCATCCAGCGATCTACGTTACAAGCGCCGGAGAGCTATGGAAATCCCAACCACCATCCAGTGTGGTGAGCTGGTGGTCGGAACCTCCTCCTGACTCTCCACCATAATCCATGACCCTCTTCTTTCTGACCCCTTGCTGGCCTCCTGACTTGACTGACATTCATGGACTTTGGGTCCCACTGGGGATGAGTCTGTTTGATGATGGGCCTGGGAGCTCAGCCTTGGGGCTGTGTCAAGTCCCACCTGTCCCTCCTGAATGAGGCAGGTGTCTAACCTGCCTCACTTGGTTTGGTACCCCATTGTTAATGGTGTGATTGATGATTGAGCCAGGATCCTGGTGGAGGAGGGAGAGAGGCTGGGAACATTGAAAGTCCATGATATAAAGTGTCTATTCTTGCTGGAATCACTGTCCCTGAGAAGAATTACCATTGTGTAAGGAAGGCAGAGTTGTAGCCATGGAAAGTCGGGGGTATCTTTGCCTTGGGCCTGGTTGAGAGGAACCTGTTTACTAAAGATATTATGGGACATGGCTGATGTTTATGGGGGTGTTTTCTGTGTCATAGATTTGTGTCTGAAGTGGCGAACCCTCCCCTTCCAGCTGAGTTCTGTGGAAAAAGATTACCCTGACACCTGGGTTTGCTCCATGAACCCTGATCCTGAGCAGGACCGGTGAGCACTTGCTCTAACAAGGAGATTGTGGGTATCTCCTCTCTCCTCACTGTATTCTCCCTACCCTTTGGGTAAATAACTTGCTGTGCATCTTGAGGTCAGTGCTGATATTCTCACATCTCTGTCTTGCTGCAAATAGTAAGTGCCCTGGAAATAAGAATAGATGTCTGTCCTGCAGTGAGTATTAATTCTGTACATTTGGGAACCCTGAGGTTGTTGCTGTGGTGAGAGACAGCATGGGTTGGCTGAAGAGGAAGGACTGTGTCCTACTTAGGGCCCTGTTTTGCCACAACCTCCCTAACACCCTCTTTTCTACAGATGTGAGGCTTCTGAACAGAAGCAGAAGGTTCCCCTGGGGACATTCAGAAAGGACCTGAAGACACAAGAAGAGAAGCAGAAGCAGCTGACAGAGAAAATTCGCCAGCAGCAGGAAAAGCTAGAAGCCCTGCAGGTGCGTGGGTCATGGGCAGTGGACAGAGCTAGCCTGTGTCAGGTCTGTCTGGGATGGGAACAGGAACCGTCAGTGGCTCCCTGGTTCTTGAGTACATTAATGATGATCATTTTAAAAAATCAAACTATTTTGTTTATGTGTTCCAATGTGGGCAGAAAATAAGTATTCTACCAGAGAGGTAACCACCATTAACTAACATTTCTAATTTTTTATGGCTGCCTATGTACACATATATTTTATAATAAAAATATGGAAATCGTGTTATGACACACACTCTTTTTAGTGCATACTTCTCTTGGGATAATTTTCCAGAAGTGAATTTGAAAGAGTAAAAGCATTTGTAAAATTTTATGGCTTTTTATAACCACTTCCAAGTTATTCTCCAGAAGATATATTGATTTCTGTTTCTTTACAAGCAGTACATTTATTTTAAAGTTTTTTTGCAAATTCGACAGGCAGAGGTACACATCTTATAATTTGAATTTCTTTCATATTTTTGAGTTGGACAATTTTTTTGTCTATTTGTTTCTTTTAGGATAGCTTCTTCTCATGTATTTTTTTCATAATTGATTTGTCAGGTTTTTGAGATGTATTTATGGTACATTTATCATTTTTATTATAAAAAGCTTTTTCTTTTCTGGCTTCTGTGTCTGTGCAGATGTTCACACTACCCTGGATGTCTTAGGCCTGCCTCCCTGTCTACTGAATCCCACTTGTCCTTTCTGACCTTTTCCATCAGGCTTTTCTTACCTTTTCTGGCTTCTTTTATAGGAATTTAGTCCATTGACACTTTTTCCTGGTCTCTCAATTGCTAGATGAATCACATAGAATCCTGTAGTTTGCTGATGATATAGTGTCTTGTATTTTTTGTCTCCTAGTGAGAATGGGAGTCTTAAAATAGTAGGACTGTGCCTAGGTTTTCTTTTTTATGTGCCTATTGTCCCAGACACATAGTAGGGATCCAGAGAGTTTGCTTGAATGTACCAACATATGCAAACAACCTCATCATCATGTTTGCTGTGCAGAAAACTACACCTATCCGGTCCCAAGCTGACCTGAAGAAATTGCCTTTGGAAGTGACCACCAGACCTTCCACTGAGGTAAAGCCCAGGACGGGGGGAAGGGCTTTTCCTTAGGTGTCTTGTGCTAGGATCAGTGTTCTCATTCTCTCCGGTTCTCTTTTAGGAACCTGCACGTAGACCTCAGCGACCTCGGTCACCTCCTTTACCTGCTGTGATCAAGAATGCCCCCAGCAGACCCCCTTCCCTGCAAGCTCCCAGGCCAGCCAGCCAGCCCCGAAAGGCTCCTGTCATCAGCAGTACCCCAAAGCCTCCTTCCCTGGCAGCTCGGGAGGAGGCCAGTACATCCAGGCTGCTGCAACCACCCGAGGCACCCCGAAAGCCTGCTAGCACACTGGTTAAGACCGCGCCCCGGCCCACCCCTGTGGTGCAGCCACTGTCACCATCTCTGCTACCCAACTCCAAGAGCCCTCGGGAGGTCCCAGCTCCCAAAGCCATCAAGACTCCAGTGGTCAAGAAGCCAGAGCCACCCAGTAAACTCTCCCCAGTGAGATGCTTTTTCTCTTCCAGCCCCGAGTCTACCCTCAGTGGTGTAGGAATGGAATCAGGCTGTGTCAAAGCTGTTTTGGGGGAGCCTCACTGGAGATCATCAAATCTAAAGCTTCCTGTTGCCCCTGAGGAGGAGTCTCAATAGCTGAAGGGACTTGATCTGGTCAGGGCACAGAGCAAGTTGGTTTGCTGTCCAGGGAGCTCTTCACTGCTCCCTTCAAGTTTTGGTCTGCCATATACTTGAGTCCTCTCCACCAGCTTCTGTGGTGTAGGTGTAGGTTGGCAGCCTGGTGACTGCCTTGCTGGGCTGCAACAGTGGTTAGCATGTCTCAGGGAGGTCACAGCTGGCTGGCCAGGCAGGCTAAGGGAGAAGTAAACTGAGAGGCTCCCCCTACGACAGCTTTGAGCAAAGGTCCTTGTGGGCACAGGGATCAGGAGGTTGCTGTATACGGAGTAATGTCGGGAGGCTCAGCCCTGGGGGACCTGAGAAGCACACAAGTGGAACAGCTCCTTTAGGCCAGATGGAACCTTCCTGTACTTCAAGGGCTGACACGGCCCCTCCTCACATTCCCTCTCCTCTTGCTGTAGACCACTCCTGGTCGGAAGCGGACTCTTGGGGTCTCTGACGAAGAAGAAGCTGAGGAGGAGGCTGAGAGGAGGAAGGAGAGGTCTAAGCGGGGCAAGTTTGCTGTGAAGGAGGAAAAGAAGGACTTGAATGAGGTAGGTGGTACCAGGTGAGGTTAGAACCTCCTTCCCCAGGGTTGCAGTCTGCACCAGCTCTGTTTATCTTTTGTGATTTGAGCCTTCCAGAAGCCCAGTTCATCTCTATAGGACTCTTAGTCACACAGATGACTTAGAAACATGGCGCCAGGTAGGCTTCTGAGTGAGACTGGCTTCTGGCTCTCATCACAGGATGGAGGTCACACACATATCAGGGAGGCTCGAAACCCTTTGCTTCCCTGTGTTTGTGACACTCCTTTGCATACTGTCTTGTTTATAAAGGTGGCAGAAGGGTAGATACTCAAGGTAGTGTTTTGGAGAGCAGCTCTTGGTGAGACACGGAGATGTAAATGGTCACATAAGATAACATGAGGTGACAGCTAATGACCCTGGGTTGCCAGTCATGTAAAAATCTGCTTTTCGGGGGCACTGGGGATGGTTCTAACAGACTCTGTTCTCCTTACAGCTCTCGGACAGTGCTGGGGAAGAGGACCCAGCTGATCTTAAGAGGGCTCAGAAAGGTGAGTTTGGGGAGGTACCTGGCAGCCTGTGGGGGAAAGGGTAGTGGGGCCCCTTAGCCAGCAACTGTTTATCCTGAAGGCTCTTGAAGGCTTTCCTGGCTCTGGGCTCTTGTGCAGCAATGGTTCCAAGTCTGATCCCGAGAAGAATTCTGAAGATAGCACACCCTTACGTGTATTTTTAGCACAAATTTCTTGGCTTGCACCTCTGGCAGTCACTCATCCTGCTGCTCTTTGGCACCCTCACAACAGATGGGGAAAGGAGATCAGGGTGGCTGGGCTTCATGTTCCTGGCAAAGTACAGGCAAGCATCTAGGGGTTCTTGTCTCTGCAGATCCTGGGACCGCCTCTCTCAAGGTGGCCCTGGCTGAGTGGGGAACTTTGTTAGTGTTCTGACTCCCGTTCCATCCTCATTCTTTCAGATAAAGGGTTGCATGTGGAGGTGCGTGTGAACAGGGAGTGGTACACAGGCCGCGTCACAGCTGTGGAGGTGGGCAAACATGTGGTGCGGTGGAAGGTGAAGTTTGACTACGTGCCCACAGACACAACTCCGAGAGACCGCTGGTAATGCCCCTTTCCAGAAGCTGACAGAGTTGGCCAGGCCAGGGGGAGGTCTATCCCTGGCCACCCAGACCTGGGGCACACATGAAACAAGTGCTTGTGTGCCTCCTAGGGTGGAGAAAGGCAGTGAGGATGTGCGGCTGATGAAGCCCCCTTCTCCGGAGTATCAGAGCCCCGACACGCAGCAGGAGGGCGGGGAGGAGGAGGAGGAGGAGGAGGAGGAGGAGGAGGAGGAGGAGGAGGTGGTGGCCCAGCAGGCTGTAGCCACGGCAGAGCCCTCTACTTCTGACTGCATCCGCATAGAGCCTGACACCACTGCCCCGAGCACCAACCACGAGACCATTGACCTGCTTGTCCAGATCCTACGGTAATGTGTCTTCCCACTCTGGGGCTAGCTGTGGCTCTCCACACTTGTTCTTGCTATTCTGAATTTCCGCTCCCACCTTCTTCTTTCTTTAGGAATTGTTTACGGTACTTTCTGCCTCCAAGTTTCCCCATCTCCAAGAAGGAACTTAGTGCTATGAATTCAGATGAGCTAATATCATTTCCTCTGGTGAGTTTGGCCTAACCTTTATTTTTATTCTGCATGACCCGTCAGCTTCATGCTTTTTGTGATTGCCAGCCCTTGTTGTGTCCCCCGCCCCCCCCCCGCCCCGTCCCCCCGTAGCTGGATATGACTGTGATGTGCAGAAGCCAACCACAACCACAACCATAAGATGCTGGGGCTGAGTCCTCACTTCAGGACAGCAGGCCTGGTTTGACATTTTAGAATGAGTATATCCTTTTTCCTCTACCCCAGCAGAGGGACTAAACTTGTCCCAGGCAACAGTGAAGAACTTAGGCTCAAAGTACCTAAAACTTGACTCTTAGAGCGAGGTGGAGATGTCTTGAAAGTAAGCACTGGGTGTTAATTATGCTGATGTGGCACAGGCCCTGTGCTGGACCTCTTAACGAGCAGCAGAAGAGAGTCCTGCCTCCAAGTGGCGTAGGATTCAATAGAGACTGAATTTTTACCAGTAGTTGGACATGAGACTGAGAGCAGTAAGTGCTGTGGAAGCAGGTGGTTGGGCTGTGGCAGCCTTGGGAGGGGAGAGAGCAGCAGTCTGAAGTGTCTGTATAAGTGACAGGGAAGCTTTGAGGTAGGGGGACTTCGTGAGCAAGGGGTCAGAGGGATGAAAGTTCCCAAGTCAAGGCAGCAGGCTGTGTGGTGAGCATTGAGGGAAGAAGAGGGCCTGAGAGCCAGGATATGGTGCGTCTTGAATGTCTGGTCTTAGGCATAGTGGTTTAAACCTTGAATAAAATGAAGGGCCAGCAAAAGTTTTGAGCTCGGGGAACTGTCAGTTTGAACCTGGTCTACAAACTTTCTGTAGAGGGCCAGTTAGCAAATATTTTCAGCTTTGTGGGTTATACAGTCTCTGTGGTAACTACTGAACTCCACTATTACAGCGTGAAAGCTGCCGTAGACAGTTTGTAAAGGAATGGATATGGCTGTGCTCCAATAAAGCTCTATTTACAAAAACAGGTGGCAGGCTGATTTGGCCTGGGGCTCTAGTGTGCTGACCCCGCCCTAAGAGGATACCTCTTGTGGCAGTATGTTTGGGTGGGATGCGTGGATGCGAGATACAGGGGCAAGGGGGCGGGTCCAGTTGTGACAGCTCAGAGGTGAGGGAACAGGAACTTGAGCCAGAGTGGAGGGGGTGGACTGGTGGGTGAAAAGGCCATGTCAGAGGTTGTTGACTGGAGGCAAGTGATGGGGGAGGAGGCAGAGGCCACGTGTTTCTCTATGTCTCAGGCCTTTGGGAAGTGATGACAAAGCTGTTAACTGGAAGAGAAAACAGGGTGAGGGTAAGAGAGGTGATGAATTGTGATATGTGTTGGGCTGGAAGCACCAGCACCTACATTTCTGGTGATGTCCAGTGGGCAGGTGGAGATTGGGGACTGGGCACTTGGGAGGGGTAGGAAGGCCGGGGCTGCATATGGGATCTGGGAGTTGTCTTTCATTGAGTGGGATAGATAGTTTTATGGTTGGAATAGCTTAAGTTTTCTAGGGAGGAGTTTCTAGAGAACAGAACTAGAAATCGAAATTGCAGGGCTAGTATGTTCAAGACGTTGGGCCCTCGTATGGCAGCTGTGTGCTTGATGGTTTGCCAAAGAGGAAAAGATGGGGTTTTAAGTCTCCATTCTACTTAAAAAAAAAAAAAGGTTAGGAGTTGAAGAAACTGAGGCTCAGAGAGATGAAGAGTCTTGTGATAGAACCCAGATTTGAACCCAGGTACTTCTTCTTTAGGACAAGGGTCTTGCCCTTCTTCTAGTACTGCCTTGCTTCCCCATGAGATGAGAGGGTAGGTGTTGGCAAAGGAAGCTAGGGGATGGCAGAGCTCGTGGTAGTGTCCCCAGAAAGCTCCATGCCTCAACTCTTGCGCTTGTTGAGGTTGCAGGTGCTCTCTGCAGATCCCAGGAACAAACCACTGATAGGATGGCTAGGGTGGCCTGGCATCCTCTTGTCAATCAGATTTGTTGATTTTGGCTTAAAGTTGTCAGACTCAGAGTGAAGCCTGAGTGGGATCTTTGCTGCTCAGACCAGAAACACAGCCAGGATCATCTGAGCCTAAAAGTCTGTTAGCTTATGCTTATAAAAGGTATATCACCAATGCACCAACTTTTAATTTTTATTTATTTATTTTTAGTGTTCCATGATTCATTGTTTGTGTATAACACCCAGGGCTCCATGTAGAACGTGCCCTCTTTAATACCCATCACCAGGCTAACCCATCCTCCCACTCCCCTCCCCGCTAGAACCCTCAGTTTGTTTTTCAGAGTCCATCATCTCAATGCATCAACTTTATAGTCTGCTGACTGTAATGTCTAAAATAACTTAAACTAATTTTTTTAATGTCAGGGACACAACAGAGTCTAATGTTCATTATGCTCTTGTCAGTCTGTAAAAGATCATCCTTTTTGCCACCATACTGGACTAGGAGTTCCATAAAGTTCACAGGAGTCCTGCAAATACTAGATTTAAATATATATTTTTAAAAAGTAATATAACCATGTAAATCTATAATAAAAGAGTTAAAAAACTAACATGATAGGCTCAAGACATCATATACTGAGTTTTAATATTTTGGAGTCTGCTCACTTATTTTGTGCTGCCAACATAATTTTTTACATAAAACTTCAAATTTCTTTTGCCATCTTGGTTTAATAGGATACTCTACATTGTAAGGTAAATGACACAGTTAAGTACTTTCCAGTCACACTTCTTAAAAACAGCAGTCAGGAGCCAGTAACGCTTTTTAAAATCATTCAGGAGCGGGCGCCTGGGTGGCTCAGTTGGTTAAGCGACTGCCTTCGGCTCAGGTCATGATCCTGGAGTCCCTGGATCGAGTCCCGCATCGGGCTCCCTGCTCGGCAGGGAGTCTGCTTCTCCCTCTGACCCTCCTCCCTCTCATGCTCTCTGTCTCTCATTCTCTCTATCTCAAATAAATAAATAAAATCTTTAAAAATAAATAAATAAAATAAAATAAAATAAAATCATTCAGGAGCCCCTCAATGCCAGTAGCTCATACATCTTTATAGAAGCATATAAACACATGAGTTGATAAGACTACAGTGGTCAGCCAGAACCACTCATTTTCATCAAAATGGCCTTATTCTCATTGGTGACTTAAGAGTAAATGATGTTATAAATTTGAGCTTTGAAAATAGATACTGCTCAAATTTTTTTACAATTAGATTCCATGTAACATTTCTTTTGAAGCAAGTGTTCCTGCTACCTTTTAAAAGTTTGAAAAGCCTCATGTCTAGAGAAACTGATAGTTTACCATCACTATACCCCACATTTTGGAAGTTTCAGGTACTCAGGAAAGATAGTAAAAGCTCTAATGTTGCTTATAGAAGTATACTACACAAATCTGAAGGTATTTGCTGCTGGTGGGTGCTTGATAAATATTTCTGGAAGAGAACTTTTGGTTCTTACATTGTGGGGCGTGACTTGGAATGGGCTGCCGAGAGGACTGTGGTGAAGTTAGAAAGGTGTGATTGAGCTGGGAGAGGGACTCGTCCTTTTTGTGCCAACTGGAATGGCATCCCTCACTAATAGCTTGCTGTCTGCCAAGGGCTGAGGGCTTCACATTGGGTGATCCTATCTCCCTCTCATGGCAGCCCCATGAGATGGGCATCAGGTTTTTCCACTGTGGAGCTAGAGAGCCCGCTTGTCCCTTGTGTGTGACATCCCTTCACACTGAGCATCCTTGTGCTGAGCCAGGGTGGGGATACTAGTGCTAATCTAGAGGGACCCTTGGGGCCCCTGTAAGTTCATGCAATGATCCTGTGGGTTCCCTCCCTACAGAAAGAGTACTTCAAGCAGTATGAAGTGGGACTCCAGAATCTGTGCCATTCCTACCAGAGCCGTGCCGACTCACGGGCCAAGGCCTCCGAGGAGAGCCTGCGCACTTCTGAGAGAAAGCTCCGAGAGACAGAGGAGAAGCTGCAGAAGCTGAGGACCAACATCGTGGCGCTCCTGCAAAAGGTGCAGGAGGTGAGCCAGGCAGCCCTCTCATTGCAGCTGGACCACCTGGTGTCTCAGGGAGGGGGGCCTGGGCACCTCCTGCTCCCTTCTCCCCACTCACAGGAATCTGTGGTTCCAACCCTGGCTGCACAGCATCCTGACCAGGAGGGCTGGAGGTGGTGCGGCTGCCTGGGCCTCATCCCAGCCAGACCCACGGTATCAGATTTTTGCCCTTGTTTAGATCTCTTATTTACAACCTAGTTTGAGAATCCTCCAAGCCATAAAACAGAAAGAAGTTCTTGCTTTTCCAGATGACGCCCAGATTGGGATTGGGTTGCCCAAAAGTGGGGAGTGCCTCTGTAGGGTCTTAGTCCTTCACCCAGGCAGTGAAAACTGTGGACTTGCTCTGTGTCTGTCCTGTGGATACCGGGTGAACCAGATAGGCAAGCTAAGATCCCTACCCTCATGGCCCAACAGTCTGGTGCACAGAATTACTGATGGGGGGAAGTGCTATGAAGTAAATACAAGAGAAGGAAACATGGAGGCCACTTTACTAGGATGTTCTAAGAAGGGGGTATTTGAGCTGAGAGTAGAATCAGTCCTACAAGATTGGATGTGAGTGCTTTGGGCAGAGAGAAGAGTAGGACCTGAGGTCAAAGGCAGGGACTTGTGGGTGATAGAAGAGGCAGGCCTATGTGAGGTGGGCCGTCCCTGGAGGCGTTTGGCACAGTCCTTTTTGCAACCTAAGATACTTACGTGGTTGGTTGTAGGAAGTCCTGGAGTTGGGTGGAAGTTAGAAGCTAGGGCTTGGGTGAGGAGGTTCCCACACTTATCTGGGTGAGAGATTTGGTGGCCTGAATCTTGGATGGTGACTGTGAGAAAGACAGATTTGTAATATTTGGGGGGAAGGAAGGAAATGGGTGATTCTAATGGTTTGTCTTGAGCCCCTGGGTGAAGGAAGGTGGTAGCCTGTACTGAGATGGGCACAACCCGGGGTGGGGTGATGGAGTTGGGCTGTTTTGAATACTGAGTCTGAGAAGTCTGCAACACATCTAAGGCACCGGGAACCTGGGGTAAAGGCAGGGCAGGAGCAAGAAATCTGGGCGTCATCTGTGCACAGAGGATGGGGAGGGGCAGAATGATCAAGATGGGACAGGCCTGACAGCAAGGGTGGAGGAGGGGGTTGGGGATTCTGGGCTCAGGCTCCTTTGCCTGTGAGAAGGATGGGGAGGTGGCCCCCCTCCGCCCACCGCCTTCTGGCTCCTAGCTGATTGCTCCCTTCTATTCCAGGACATAGACATCAACACAGATGATGAGCTGGATGCCTACATCGAGGACCTGATCACCAAGGGGGACTAAGGGGCTCAGAGACAAAGATCAGCTCCTCTGCCCTTCAAGGCAGAGTTCTCGGGGTGGGGGGAGTGTTTTGTTCATGGGTTGGTGGACTTACCTTGATTTGACTCACATGAGACATTTGTGCTTTTGAGGGAAAAATACTCTGATTCTTTGAATCTTCCTCCCTAAGTTTATAAATATTTATTTTTTAAAAGAAAAAAGATGCTGCGCCTGCTATGAGACCATACATTTTTCTTTTGGTGACTCTTGGGCAAAGGACAGAGAACCAGGACGCCAAGCTCCTTCTCTTGGCTCCTGGCTCCTCAAGATATGGTAAACCCAGTGACATCCATAAGTCAGAGAGGCTTCAGGGGCAGGGCTTAGCTCTTCTAGAGGATGAACAGTGTTGATAAGGGAAAGAGCCCTCCAGAGTTGTGCTTCTCCTAGGGGCTCTGATCTGGGGGACCCCTGGGGGCAGTGGATCAGGATAGAGGCTCAGTGCTGAGCAGCTCCCTTCTCAGGTCAGGGACATGAATGCTGGCCCAAGCAGCTGTCAGTCATGCTGTGGCATTGTCCAAACAGCTTGGGGAAGAAAGATCCTCCCATTCAATTCCCCCATCCACCGTTCAAGTTCTCCCTGTGGCAGTGATTTCCTCAGTTAACTATGGATAGTGAGGTTTCCCACCTCAAAAACTTGAGTCCAGATTGAGTAGTAGATCTGACTCTAGTGGAGTACACACTGAATGAATGTTTGAATTCCAAAGGATTCTTTTTGAGAAAGCTCCTTATGACAGAGCCCCTGGTGCTGATCTGGTGATGACCTCTGCCTGTGGGTTTGGCAGGGTCTGGAGGGAGCACACTGCCTCAGATGGTGCTGGCTGATCTGGAGAGCCTGCTGCTGCTGTTTTTACTGTTTCCCCTCTGCCTGGCCTCACCGGTCCCTGCTCTAGGCCAGATAGGAGAGGGGGTCACTGAGCCACACGGACTCCAGAGGCAGCTTTGTAGGAAGCACACCATGCCTTCCCTCCCATCTAATCACAGCCTCACGCAGCTGTGTCCTTCAAGTGACTTCTCAGGGTCAAAGACAAAGGCAAGAGTTGCTGTTTCTCTTTAGTGGTCATTGGAAAAATTCTGGTTTGATTTCCCCCAACTCTCTTCTCTCTCCTCTATAGTTGGGGACTTTGGGTTTTCTAGAGGCACAAGAACTATGGCCTGGTACCACTGGTCTGTGATTCAAACCTTTCTGGGTGTGTTTCTGGCATCTACCCACTCCAGGTCAACAGTGGCCCACATGCCACTCTGTGGCCTCTGCAGAAGACTGGGAGGCACTGGTGAGGGAAGTCTTTACCCACTTCTGCACGTGTCCAGAAGCACCTGCAATTTGTGGGTTTGGGGCTTCCCCAAACCACATCCCTGTGGCAGGGTTATTTGGGGAAATACCACTCAGAACCTGGTCTCTTCCTCTGGAAGATTCTCTGAGCCTAGGGGTTTCTTGAGCTGGTGATTCCTCTCCTGTCCACCTCGCTCTCTTCATCCCAGGCAGCATGTGGTTCATTTTTGTCTCCAAACCTACTGTTTTAATCTAAAGGAAGTTGGTTCTGCATTTTTACCAGAGGGTAATACCCAAGTTTTTTATTTACATACCTGTAATCAAAATGCAATACTATAAAACTTTTACTGGTGAGACTCCTGAATTCAGTCTGTTTTCTTCTGTTAGTAAAATCTAGCACTTCCTACTTCATTCTTTCTACCACTATGGTTTTAAACTGTCTTCAGATTATTCCTCATCACCATCTTTTTCTATATTCACCTTCCTTAACACGCACAGAAACAGAAATGCTGAACTTCTTAAAACATTTTAGCTTGAACTCCATGTGCCCACTTTGCTGTTTAAATCCAATCACAGCTGTACTGAATGTAGCCTGTTGCCCAGACGGAGCTCCTGCCATTCTGGGTGGGAAGATAAAGTGCAGGGTTCCTCCCCTTTCCATGTGATGGGAACTGCTTGGAACTTTCTGAAGACTTGGGAGGAGGGAGTGGTCTGGCTGGTTTGTGGCCTGAGGGTCCATAGCATAATGGCTGCAAAAAGGTGAATGAGTACAGCATTGCTTGTTTTTTTTTTTTTTTAAAGATTTTATTTATTTATTTGAGAGAGAGAATGAGATAGATAGAGCATGAGAGGGGGAGGGGCAGAGGGAGAGGGGGAGGGGCAGAGGGAGAAGCAGACTCCCCGCTGAGCAGGGAGCCCGACGCCGGACTTGATCCCGGGACTCCGGGATTATGACCTGAGCCGAAGGCAGTCGCTTAACCAACTGAGCCACCCAGGCGCCCTGGCGTTGCTTGTTTTTAAGGAATGAGAGCAATGGGGACTTTTAGTTTTTAAGTGACACATGCATAACAGTAAAAATTCAAACAGTACAAAAGGCTGGAAGGCCTGAAAAACAAGACTCCCTTTCACCCTTGATCCCTGTTTTTCCTTGAAAAGAATATCCATGCTAAGCACACATCTGTTCTGTTTCTGCCTGTTTCCCACTCAGTGTATCTTGGAACCTGTTTCAGAATAGCCCATATGGGTCTACTTTTTTCTTCTGCACAACCTCATAGCATTTCATTGTCTTGGATGTACTGATGTTTAAGAGTCTCCTACTTAACAAACATTTGGGTTAACATTTATGAAAAAATGCTATGATGAGTGTGTGTATTATTATCTCAGATCTATATGTATGTATGGGAAATTCCAAAGAGAAACGGCTGTGTCAAATGGTAGATACTAATATTAAAAATACTAAGATACAGTCCAGAAAAGACCTCCAACTTTAACTCCTACCAGCAGTGTATTCTGCCCCCGCCCCCACCACACTTGTCAGTATGCAGTCTCTTCCATCCTGTGTACTAATCTGAAAGGAGAAAAGTGATATATTTTTGAGTTGGTTTGAACTACGATTGAGCACCTTCATTGGCCAGTCGTGTCTCTGATGCAGTCTGTAGTTCTGAATCTGGATTAGGGACTTCTGTACAAAAGTGTTTACAAAAAAAGAAGATGATAACCAAGGGGTGAAGTCCTCAGGAAAATGTTCACCTTGTACGACCCTTTCAGGCCCCAAGTGTCCCATGGACAAAGGTTTAACGTGTTTGTTTACTCAAGGAAGGCATGGGTTAATAGTTGAGAAAAACTTTCCTGGTTCCTCCTCTATCTGAGTGACACTACTTTTTGGCTGCTCTTATTGGGTCCAGTTCCCCATATCTACATAACTGCCTTTCAGACCTGTGGTTCAAGCAGTGGTAGCCAAGAGTTCTTAGCTCTAAGGACCAGTAAGTGATAAAGCTCAAATTTCTTTGCCATTTACGTAGAATACAGGGCTTGACTGGAGTGGGCAGTGTCTCCTGGTTACTTGTCCCTGTCGGAAGATTGTTCTAGCTGGGCCAGGCTATAAGGGACCTATGGTCACTAAGGTGCTTGAAACATCCTCAGAATTCCACTAGAGGGTCTGGCCTTTGTTGGAGATGGCACCGCTGAGGCTTCCTTTTGACCTCATTGCTTTTGGTTCCCTGAACAGGTAAATGGCCAGCTTGGCCAAGGGAGGCAGAGCTCCAAGGGAACACGCTTTCTCTGCTGCCCTGTTTGAGGCCTCAGACCGTTCTGTTCTCAGCACTAATGGGGTCACCCTTCATAGTGAGCAAGACAAAGACTGGACAGAGGAAGGCCCTGGCAAGGAACATCTCACTCTGCAACGAGCCAAAATACTGACCAGTATCTCCCCCCCCACCCCGCGGTCTTCTAACTAGGGCTCCTGGTGGGTCCTGTAGAATTTTCCTTCTAGCTCACAAGGCCTCAGACAAATCATTGCCCATCCTGGCTTATTTAAGCCACGAGGCTAGTTCTCCACCTTAAATTTACTCAGAGGCCCATATAGATAGCCACTAATCTAGGGCTGGTCTGAAGCTGGAATGGAGGTCCAAAGCCCTTGTGGCCCTGACCCTGAAGTTTTGTGTCCAAGATTCACTGGTCCCTGCGAGCTACCTGTAGGCATTTCACTGCTTACTCAGTGGCCCTCCGGGGGTGTTACCCCATAGCCATCCTCATGGCTGCCTAACCATTTGGCCTGTTTCAAAAGTATCCCTTAAGGGTAGGGAGGGGCGGGGCTTCCATCCAGCCTCCTTCGGGGCTGCCCTGTAGGTTGCCTAAGGTATATTCAGGCATTCCCAGCAGTTGGCGGCCAAGGCCTAGAGAGTGGGGGAGCTCATACCGCAGGGGCACACTTAGACCACTGAGAGAAGGATCTGATGGACATGGACATATCTTTTCCCCCTTTCTCCTCTGGACTTGGCAGAGGTGCTTCCATGGGATTCGCTGGGGCCACTTCCTGCTCGAGCAACCGCCGGTTGTTTGGGAAGCCGTGGCCAGCTCTAATTCACCACTTTGAATTTACTGTCCCTCCCTTTACACTTTTCCTCTAACGAAGCTCTGGGCTCTCACTGCCCTCCCTAATGCCACCTTTTAGGCCAATCTGTCACCGGGTGTGGGGCGCTGCGGTAGGAGGAGAACTATTAGAAGGGAAAGAGTTCTGAGTTCTTGCTCTAAACCATCTATCACAATACGACATGGGCTGGAGAACTGGCTGCAAATTCTTACCTGGCCCAGAAGACGCGGCCAGGATCCAGCTGCAGTCCCATCCCGGCGCCGGCCTTCCAGCCCGCCAACCGTTGCGGGTCGGCCGAGCGCGTCCCTTACGCCAGTTCTCCAGACCCTCGAGGCGGGAACGTAACAGCACCTGCGCGATGCTGCTGCCCGGCACGCACGTGTGCGGCTGCGCCATGCGCATGCGTCTGGGAACAGGACAAGCCCGCCAATGGGGCGGTGGGGCAGGGGAGCAGGCTAGTGGGGAGGAAGCCGCGTGAGGAAACTAAGGTGCGCGAGGCCTGCTGGCTGCAGGGTCGGGATGTGGAGACCTGGCAGCACCGCCACACCCGGCCAGACTGGGGGCAAGCTGGGGGGCGGCAGCCCCAGGGTCTTCACATCCTAGGGCGAGCGAAAGGCCTTGGGGATCCAATGGCCTGCCCACACCCCAAGCAGAAAAGTGGGTGGGGTTTTTTGTTGGTTTTTTTGTTTTGTTTTTTTTTCTTCTGGCGTCTGCGTATTAAGCCCGAGTTGTTTTTCAACTTTTTTTTGGCCACTACAGAAAGCATTTTGTATAGATGACTTTGCGGTGTGGTGCTTTTATATCTGCAAGATAAAGGACCTGGAAAGGAAGCTGCATGTTTTATGTCGTAAAATAGCCATCTCCAGGTAATTTTCCTCGAAGGTCTGGCCTGCTTGCCAGCCTGTCAGCCTCTCCCAGGACTGAGGCATCTTGTGTCTCACAACCTTGGCCCATTTTCTACTGGTTTGTCCTTAGCTTGGTGTATGGTGTTACTTGAAAGGTAAACACTTAGGATTTGGGGATTCTTATCATGCTTAGGAAAACCTCTCCCTTCCTCTTCATTGCCTTCCCCCCAAATTCTCTTATGTTTTGTTGAAATATTAAAAAAAAAAAAAAAAGTGTCCACTCCCTGTGGAATTTTAGCTTAAGCAGTAAGGCAAGAGTCAAGCTTTGATTCTTCTTTCAGATGGGAATTCACTGTTTGCCCCATTTATTAAGTGAACAACCTTGGTCATTATATTCCATTCTATTTGGTGGCTCCTTGGACGTGTCAGTGAAGACGTCCTGTTATTGGTTGGACAGGTGATTCTGATGTGAGGAGTGGGGTCCCAGCTGAAACTAGAATTTTGGGCATCAGGAGCATCTAGATGGATCAATCTCCCTCACTGTTTCTTTCTTTCTTTTTAAAAATATTTTTCCAGGCTATTCTTAGAACTTATTGTTAAGTGAAATTTATTTTTTTAAGATTTTATTTTTATTTATTTGAGAGGGATAGAGAGTCGGAAGGAGGGGCAGAGCAGGAAGGAGAAGCAGACTCCCCACTGAGCAGGGAGCCCAGCGTGGGACTCCATCCCAGGACCCTGAGATCATGACCTGAGCAGAAGGCAGACGCTTGACCAACTGAACTGCCCAAGCGCCCCTGTTAAGTGAAATTTAAGATCATGTTACCCAGTTTTTCCCCATCCTTGCCAAATAAAAAAGTTCCATTGTGATTTAAATTATAATTGCATTTAACTTAGATGTAAATTATGGGAGGTTGACATTTTTATGACCTTAAATCTCCCCAGAGGATACAAAGTGGTTTTTCATTTGTTTGACTCCTTTTAGTCCTACAATAAGATTTTATAATTTCTATAACTCTCTCATTTTTTTCTGTTACGGTTTTTGTCAGTATTGTGAATGGGATATTTTTTCCATCTCTGTTCCTGATTATTAATACAGAGAAAAGCAAACAATTTATTTTCTATGTTATGAACTCTGGTAGTTTTAAAAATAAACTTATTTTTTTTCATAGATGCAAGCCTTAAATTTGCCAGTACACCAATTTAATTGCCATTTTATTTTTTAAAAATATTTTAATGCCTTTTTTTTTTTTTAAAGAGAGTGCAAGTGGGGTGGGGCAGAGGGAGGAGAGAAAGAATCTTAAGCAGGCTCCACGTGGAGCCCATGGCAGGACTCCATCTCACACCCTGAGATCATGACCTGAGCCAAAATCAGGAGTCTGAAGCTTAACTGACAGAGCCACCCAGGGGCCCTGCTATTTTGCTTTAGCTAGAAACGGTGCAACAATGTTGAATAATTATATGGATCTTGTTTCTGATGGGTTGGAAATCCACATGTTAGAGTTGAGCAGAATATTGGCTGTGGTTTTGGTGAGTGATCTTTAAAGTGTGGAAAGAGTTTCCATCTTGTTTAAACTGCCAGTGTTACCTGAGTGGAGCACCAGGGGGCACTAGTTACACAGACTGAAATGTGCGTTGGGGAGCACACAATTATCAGGGACACAACCCTGACTGTCAAATCATATGGGTATTTTTTCCTTTAAGTTGCTGTTTTAACAATTATTTTTATTAGACATTGTGTCGCTACAAAAGAATACTGTATTTATAAAATATTTATATGGTAAGAATAAGCAATGTACATTTATCATCTTGTTTTTTAAAAAAGCATTTTTCTTACCTTATAAATCTGTGTGCCTTTCCTGGGTCCTCTCCCGTTTCCTCCTTGCCCAACAGTAACCACCATCCTGAATTTGATGTGCATATTTGTTCTTGCTCTTTTAAAACCTTTTACCTTCCTAAATAATTGTTTTGTTTTGCCTGTTTTTGGACTTTAGACATAACATTTACTGTTTGCAACGTGCTATTTTCTTTTCAATATTGTGTTCCAGAAATCCATCCATGTTGTTAGATGTAGCTGTAATTTATTAATCTTCACTACCATATACTATTCTATCATTGTTGAATATCATACAGTAATGAAAAATGAATCACACCTACAATGGAACATATCAATTTTTATCCATATCTCTGTGACTGGCATTTGGGTTGTTTCTAGTTTTTTTGCTATTACAATACAGCTGTGGACATTCTTGTTTATGTATGCATGCATCATCTTTGGAGTAGACTTGTTGAATCATATAGGTCATACCCCTTTCAACCTTACTAGGTAACGTCAGATTATTTTCAGAAGCACTTGTATATGTTTACATGCTCACTGGCACTAAATTCTTCATTTCTCTACTTCCTCACCTACACTTGATATTTTTAGACTTGAATTTTTTTGCCAGTCTGATGGGTGTATAGCGGTAGGTCATTGCGGTTTGTTTATTTATTTTTGTCATTGTGGTTTAATTTGCATTTTCCTGATTTCTCATGTGGTTGAGCACCTTTTCTTGTCTATTGACCATTTGGATTTCTTCTTTGATAAGGTGTTTGTTCAAGACTTTTGACCATTTTTTCTGTTCTTTTGTTTTCTTTTTATTGATTTGTATTTTTGTATATTCTGGATACAAGTTCTTTGTTAAGTTATCTGTGTTGCAGATTTCTTCTACTTTTTGGCATCTTTTTAAAAAACTTTTTTATAGAGTCTTGATGAGTAGAAGTTCTTAATTTTAGTGTAGACTAATTTACCAATATTTTTTATTGTTTGCATTTCTTGTAGCTTGTTTCAAGAAATTCTTCCCTGTCATGAAGTCATGAAGATACTATTTTATATTATCTTATAGAGCTTTTGTAGTTTTGTCTTTCACATATAAATCTTTAATCCACCTGGAATTGACTTTTGTGTATGGTATGAGGTAGAGCTTCAATTCCTTACTTCTTTCTGATTGTCCCCACATCCTTTAATGAAAAGTCTTACCTTTCTCCATTAATTTGCAATGCTACCTCTCTTTTATATCAAGTGTTCCTATATGTGTAAATCTTTTTCTGAATTTTTATTTAGTTACATTTGGCTGTTGTCTCTGTATGCAGTACCACACTGATTAAATTATTATCATTTTACAGTAAGTTTTTATATCTAGTAGAGGAAATTTAACCACTTTTTATGCTTCAAGAGTGTCTTGACTATTTTTGGTCCTTTGCATTTCCATATAAAGTTTAGAATCATTTACTCAAGCTCCAAGAGAAAACCTGAAGGGGTTTCATTGGAATTGATTCTATGTCATCAGTTTGAGAAAAACTGATATTTATAAGTCTTCCTAACCATGAAGATAGTAAAACTGCCCATTAATTTAGATCTTTCTTTAGTGTCTCTCAAGAAAGTATTATAATTTTCCTTTTGGAGGTCTTATATTTTCTTTTTTTAAAAGATTTTATTTATTTATTTGACAGAGAGAGAGCACAAGCAGGGGGAGTGGCAGGCAGAGGGAGAGGGAGAAGCAGGCTCCCCAGCTGAGCAGGGAGCCTGATGCAGGGCTTGATCCCAGGACACTGGGATCATGACCTGAGCTGAAGGCAGACGCTTAGCTGACTGAGCTACCCAGGCACCCCAGAGGTCTTCTATTTTCTTGATTAGATGTAGCCTAGGTACCTGATGGTTTTTGATGCTATTGTAAATGATACTTTTAAAACTTCATTTTCTGACAGTTTGTTGCTAATATATAAAAATGTAATTGATTTTCATGTTATTCTAATTTATCTTTTGATTCTTTTGAGTTTGCTATTACATATCTGTGAGGAATGATAATTTTGCCAATTCTCATGCTTCATGTATTTTTCTTGCCCTGTTGCATTGGCTAGGGCTGCCAGTACAATGTTGAGTATAAAGGGAAAAGCAGGGTTTTTTTTGTTTCTTTTTTTTTTTAAAGATTTTATTTATTTATTTGACAGAGAGAGACACAGCGAGAGAGGGAACACAAGCAGGGGGAGTGGGAGAGGGAGAAGCAGGCTTCCTGCCAAGCAGAGAGCCCTATCCGGGGCTCGATCCCAGGACCCTGGGATCATGACCTGAGCCGACGGCAGACACTAAGGACTGAGCCACCCAGGCGCCCCTATTTTTTTGTTTCTTATCTCATTGACAAAGCTTTCTTCTTCTCCTCCCCTTCCTTCCTTTCTTTTTTCTTTCTTCCTTCCTTTTCTTCTTTTCCTTCCTTCCTCCCTCCTCCTCCTCCTCCTTCTTCTTCCTTCTTCCTTCTTCTTCTTCTTCTTCTTCTTCTTCACCATTCAACATATTAAGGAAGATTCCATTCCTATTTTAAAGCATTTTTTCCTTTTAAATATTATGGGTGCATGTTGAATTCTATCTGAAGTGTTTTCTGCATCCATCAAGATGACCATATAGTGTTATTTTTTAAAATTTATTTTATTTTTATTATTAACATATAATGTATTATTTGTTTCAGGGGTAGAGGTCTGTGATTCATCAGTGTTACACAATACACAGCACTCACCACAATACATACCCTCCCCAATGTCCATCACCCAGCCACCCCATCCCTCCCACCCCCCCACGACTCCAGCAACCCTCAGTTTGTTTCCTGAGATTAAGAGTCTCTTATGGTTTGTCTCCCTCTCTGGTTCTTCTTGTTTCATTTTTTCCTCTTCCCCTATGATCCTCTGCCTTGTTTCTCAAATTCCACATATCAGTGAGGTAATCTGATAATTGTCTTTCTCTGATTGACTTATTTCACGTAGCATAATACCCTCTAGTTCCAACCATGTCATTGCAAATGGCAAGATTTCAATTTTTGATGGCTGCATAATATTCCATTGTATATATATACCACATCTTTTTTTTTTTTTTTAAAGATTTTATTTATTTATTTTAGACAGAGAGAATGAGAGACAGAGAGCATGAGAGGGAGGAGGGTCAGAGGGAGAAGCAGACTCCCTGCCAAACAGGGAGCCCGATGCGGGACTTGATCCCGGGACTCCAGGATCATGACCTGAGCCGAAGGCAGTCGCTTAACCAACTGAGCCACCCAGGCGCCCTATACCACATCTTCTTTATCCATTCATCTGTCTGTGGACATCTGGGCTCTTTCCGTAGTTTGGCTATTGTGCACATTGCTGCTATAAACATTGGGGTGCAGGTGCCCCTTCCGATTACTACATTTGTATCTTTGGGGTAAATACCCAGTAGTGCAATTGCTGGTTCATAGGGTAGCTCTGTTTTCAACTTTTTGAGGAACCTCCATACTGTTTTCCAGAGTGGCCGCACCAGCTTGCATTCCCACCAACAGTGTAGGAGGGTTCCCCTTTCTCTGCATCCTCACCAACATCTGTCATTTCCTGACTTGTTAATTTTAGCCATTTTGACTGGTGTGAGGTGGTATCTCATTGTGGTTTTGATTTGTATTTCCCTGATGCTGAGTGATGTTGAGCACTTTTTCATATGTCTGTTGGCCATTTGGATGTCTTCTTTGCAGAAATGTCTGTTCATGTCTTCTGCCCATTTCTTGATTGGAAATGTTCCTTGGGTGTTGAATTTGGTAAGTTCTTTATAGATTTTGGATACTAGCCCTTTATCTGGTATGTCATTTGCAAATATCTTCTCCCATTCTGTTGGTTGTCTTTGGTTTTGTTGACTGTTTCCTTTGCTGTGCAAAAGCTTTTTATCTTGATGAAGTCCCAATAGATCATTTTTGCCCTTGCTTCCCTTGCCTTTGGCGATGTCTAGGAAGAAGTTGCTGCAGCCGAAGTCGAAGAGGTTGCTGCCTGTGTTTTCCTCGAGGGTTTTGATGGATTCCTGTCTCACATTTAGGTCTTTCATCCATTTTGAGTCTATTTTTGTGTATGGTGTAAGGAAATGGTCCAGTTTCATTCTTCTGCATGTGGCTGTCCAATTTTCCTTGTAGTGTTCTTTATTTTGTTAATGTGGTGAATTACACTCATTAGTTTTTCCTAGGGTAAACTACCCTTGCATTTCTGGAATAATGATTATAAGTTTTCTATATTTCTAGACTTGTTAATATTTGTTTTGAGTTATACCATCACTAGTGTGTAATTTTCCTCTCTTCTACTGTCCTTATTAGGTTTTGGTGACCAGATTATACTAGCCTCAAGAAATGAGTTGGGGATTATTTCTTCTACTCTTGGGATAGTTTCTGTAAGGCTGATTATTCCTTGGTCAGCTGTGTCTGGAGTTTTGTATGTATATGTGTCAGGGGAGTTTTTATTTAAAAAAATTTTTAATTATTTAAGAGAGAGAGAGCATGAGCACAAGCAGGGGGAGGGGCAGAAGGAGAAGCAGACTCGAGCCTGATGTGGGACTTGATCCCAGGATGTTGGGATCATGACCTGAGCCAAAGGCAGACACTTAACTGACTGAGCCACCCAGGCACCCTTGCGGGGAGTTTTTAAACTGATTTTTAAAGATGGTTATACTACTACTCAGGATTTTCTAATTTTTGAGTCAGTTTTAAGTTATATTTTTCTAGAACTTTATCTGTTTTTAAAGTTATTGTTACAAAGTTGTTCATAATATCCTTATTTGACAATATCTGTAGCATTTATATTTATGTCTTCTTTTTATTTCAAATAGTGTTTTTTAGGTTCATCCATTTCCTCTCTCCTTCCTTCCCTTTCTCTGTCTTCCTTATCAGTGTTGACAATTTTAGTTTTTCAAAGAATCAACCTTAGCTTTTATCATCCTCTCTATTGTGTTTGTTTTCTCTTTGATTAATTTCTGATCTTGATTTCCTTTGAGTTTGTCTTAGTGTTCATTTTCTTACTCTAACTGGATGGTTAGCTCATTATTTTTTAGTCTTTCTTCTTTTACAACATGAGCTTTCAATGCTATAAGTTTTTCTGTAAATACTGCTTTACCTTTGTCCTATAAGTTTTGATATTTAGCATTTTAATTTTTAACTATAATTCTGTTGTTTTCTTCTCTGATCCATTAGTTATTTAAAAGAGTTTCTTAATGTTCAAGAGTGGATTTTTTTTCTAATTGCCTTTTTGTTACTGATTTTGAACTGTCTTCATTTTATTTTATTTTATTTTATTTTATTTTATTTTATTGATAGAGACACAGCAAGAGAGGGAACACAAGCAGGGGGAGTGGGAGAGAGAGAAGCAGGCTTCCTGCCGAGCAGGGAGCCCGATGTGGGGCTCTATCCCAGGACCCCAGGATCATGACCTAAGCCGAAGGCAGACGTTTAACGACTGAGCCATCCAGGCGCCCCAAACTGTCTTCATTTTAGTCTGAGAATGTGGTCTGTGTATTAGTTTTTTGAAATTTGCTGAGGCGTTATGACTGGCCCAAATATGTGGTTAATATTCAAAATGTTCCATGTACATTTCAAAAATATATATTCTGCAGTTGTGTGTACATTACATCGTTTGTTGATTGTATTGTTGGAAACCTTGCTGATATTTTTTGCCTCTCTGAGCTCTCGCTACAGGGAGAGGTATGTTAAAATCTTCCATTGTGATTGTGGATTTCTCTGTTTCTCCTTGTGATTGTGTCTGTTTTACTTTATTTTGAGATGTTATTAGGTGCATAGGAGTTTTAGAGCTTTGTGAATTTTATCTTTTATCATTACAAAGTGACTTTTTTATTTATAGGAGTTGACATATAGAAATACATATTTGCCTTAAAGTCTATCTTGTCTGTATATTTATGTTTTCAGTGTATTCTTGTAAACAATATATAGCAAGATTTTGTTTTATTCTAGATACTTTTTATTCTTTTTTTTTATTTATTTTTTTTTATTTTGCGAGAGAGAGAATGAGAGAGAGCATGAGAGGGAGGAGGGTCAGAGGGAGAAGCAGACTCCCTGCTGAGCAGGGAGCCCGATGTGGGACTCGATCCCAGGACTCCAGGATCATGACCTGAGCCGAAGGCAGTCGCTTAACCAACTGAGCCACCCAGGCGCCCCTAGATACTTTTTATTCTTACCCAAAGATTTAACTTACTTAAATTTTGTGTATTATTGATGCATTACAGACTTATTTCTGTCTGATTTTGTAATTTTTATTCCACCTTATCTGCATTCCTTTTTCCTCCTTCTTGCCTTCTTTTAGACTGACTGAAAATTCCTCCCCCCCGCCCCCCATACACAATGTTTTCCCTTGTTTTGGAAAATCCATTATTCTTTCTTTAGTGATTACTCTGTGTGTTTTACCAAATACTTAACCCACCAAAGTCTAACTCCACAAGTCTCTTAATACTGTTTTAGTTTTTATTCATACCTTTATTTTCCCTTGGATCCTGAAAGATATTTTCCCTGGGAATACTAACATTTTCTCCTCTAATCACTTTTCTCTTCTTTCTTAGGAGGTCAACTCTTAGTCTGATCAGTGCTCTTTGAAGGTAATTCCCACCACCTACCCCAAAGCTGGCTGCTTTTAAGATTTTGTTTTAAGAGTCTTGCAATTTCACTCTATTGTATTTTGCTGTGGATGTCTTTTTATTTTCCTATCTAGGATTTGTTGAGGTTTACTCTGTATGTTGGTCTTTCTCATGACTTCTTGGAAATTTTAAAATCATTAACTCTTTAAAAAGTTATGCTCCGCGATGCCTTGGTGGCTCAGTCAGTTAAGCGTCTGCCTTCGGCTCAGGTTATGATTCTGGGATCGAGTCCCGCCATCGGGCTTCTTGCTCAGCAAGGAGCCGGCTTTTCCCTCTGCCTGCCACTCCCCCTGCTTGTGCATGCTCTGTCTCTCTGACAAATAAATCTTAAAAAAAAAAAAAGAGAGTTCTCCATTTTGATTAGACACATATGGGACCTTCTCACTTTATTCTCCATGTCTCTTCTTTCATATTTTTCACATCTTTGTGTTGTATTCTGGATACTTTCTTCAGATCTTACTTCTATGTCACTATTGTCTTCAGTAGTATGTTTTAATATTATTATTTTTAGTGATTTTTTTCTAATTTCTGGAAATTCTTTAGTTTTTTTAAAATAGTGTTCACTCATTTTCAGGAATGAAAATTTTAGAAACCTTCTATTTCTAGAAATATATTACACGTGCTTATTTTATATTCTGTGTTTGATAATTTCACTATATGGAGTTTTATGTCTGATTCTGCTGTTATTTCTGTTGGCCTATGCTTATGGGCCAACTTGTGTATTGTGTTTCCTTGTGTGTTTAGAGATATCACACTGTAAGCTATTCATTTTCCTTGCAGTGTCACATCTGGGATTCCATAAGACCTGGAATGAAGGGGAGAGCCTCAGAGAGGATTTCTTTGCTTCTCTCATGTGACTGGGGACATTGCCAATTTGAGACCATGTTATATTCTCTGCCAAAGGTTTTACTGGACTATCTGATAGTATGTATTTAGCTATTAAACCAAACCAGGAGAGGGTCTGCTCCCAATTACTAATTCTTAGGGGATTCTTTTCTGCTCTGCTTAGGACCAATCTTTAAGACAAACAGTTTTCCTGTATTTGATTTTGGATTCATTATATCAAAGGTATAGACCTTTGGGAGTCCAGCTTTATGGGGGACATCTGATGTTAAATACCCTACCTTGGAAGTGTCATTTGAGGCGGTGAAAACCTAAGCTCACTGGTACGGTAAGTGGCTATGAGGGAAAAGCAGACTTCAGACTCTTCTTACCTTTCCATATTTCTACACTCACTTAATATCTGGCCCAAGTATTCCTTATATTCTTTCCAACTCATGGATGCTTTTAAGATGTTTTAAAATTTTATCTAGCATGCCTAGTATTATATAAGAGTGGTTGATATAATGAATGATTTATAATGAAAAACTTCCCAACACCGACCCATTCTTGCATTTCTGTGGTAAACCTAACTTGGGCATGGGTTTACCAACTTGAGGTATTAGTCTTTGGTATGTGGCTGGATTCTATTTGCTATTTGGATTTTTGAAAATTTTCTTTTTTTTAAAGATTTTATTTATTTGACACAGAGAGATACAGCGAGAGAGGGAACACAAGCAGGGGGAATGGGAGAGGGAGAAGCAGGCTTCCTGTGGAGCAGGGAGCCTGATGCGGGGCTTGATCCCAGGACCCTGGGATCATGATCTGAGCCAAAGGCAGATGCTTAACGACTGAGCCACCCAGGCGCCCTGAAAATTCTCTCTTTTTTTAAAGATTTTGACAGAGAGAGCATGCACACACAAGCAGGGGGAGAAGTAGAGGGAGAGGGGGAAGCTGGCTCCTCACTGAGCAGGGAGCCCGATGCAGGGCTCAATCCCAGGACCCTGGGATCATGACCTGAACCGAAGGCAGGCATTTAACTGACTGAGCCACCCAGGCGCCCTGAAAATTCTATTTTTTAAAAAGACTTTATTTATTTATTTATGTATGTATGTATGTATGTATGTATGTATGTATGTATTTATTTATTTATTAGAGAGAGAGAGAGAGAGAGCGCGCATGAGCAGGGGAAGGGCAAAGGGAGAGGGACAAGCAGACTCCCAACTGGGGAGTCCAGTGTGGGGCTTGATCCTAGAACACCGAGATCATGACCTGGGCTGAAGTCAAAAGCTTAACCAACTGAGCCACCCAGGTTCTGTTCTTAAAGTGAGACTGAAATACACAGTTCTTATATTTTCCGTGCTGTCTTTACCAGGTTTTGTTGTTGAAGTTATGTTGGCCAGCTTCATAAGAAGAATAAGAAACTGCATTGATGGTGTCTCTGTGCTACACTTTGACATTTTTCTATCTGGTGTCCTTTACCCACTTTATTTTGAGCCCCAGCCCTGGGGATAAGGGAACTTCAGGCTTCCTCCCCCACCGTCTGTCAGGAGCAAAGACTTGGATTGTAGAGTTTGTGGGAGCAGGAGTTTCCTAGGTCCCTAGGGTCAGCTCTTCCCAGTTGCCCCCTCACAATTTGCTGCTGCAGCCACACTCTCAGTGGCTCTGGGGAGTATCCCCCCGAGCCTTTGCTCTGTCTGGGCCTTCTGGCCTGGAATTAATTCAACACCTATTTACTGAGCATCTCCTGTGTGCCAAGCACTGGGGATGCTATAGTGTGTAAGACAGACATGATTCCTATTCTCATGAAGCTCACAGTCCATTGTGGGGTGGGGGAGATAGTGAACAAATGAATAAAATATATGGTATGACACATCATGCCAGAGTGCAGTGGAGAAAAAGGAAGCAATTTGTTGGTAGCTTTCTAACATGTTTGGGTATATGTAGGTCAAGTCCATGTTCCCCATCTTCTTAAGAATTGCTCTATTCTCTATTATTTTTTGCTTAAGAATTGCTCAATTCTCCCATGTAGATTTCACAATCTATTTGTCAAGTGTTTAAAAAATATTCACAGGATTTTGATTTGGATCATGTTGGATTTGTAGATTTGGGAAGAACCCACATAACTGAGTTGGCCATCTGTGAAGATGGTGTTTTCCTTTTAACTCAGGTCTTTTCTAACATTCAGTAAAATTTTAAAGTTGTATCTGTAAAGGTCTTTTGCATCTTTTTGTCAGATGTACTTTGAGGCCCCATATGGCCTATGTTGCAGAATCTTTTTTTCTATGACCTTTTCTACTCAGTGATGGCTGGTGGATAGACTGCTGAGAGTAGGCTGATCTTCTATGATCTGGTTAGAGTGGGTTCTAGAACGTCACCCTGATGTCACTCCCTGTTCAGAGCTCTGCCTGGCTCCACTCCAGGCTCTTCCCTCACTTTGTCTCAGTTGACTGGCTTTTGTCACCTCTGGGCTTTGCCCATGTAGCCCATCTTCTCCCTTGGCAGGCCCCCTTCCACTGCCCCCACCCCCCTGGGTTCAGGTTTATGCTGGGGTTGCCTCACCTGCCCTGTACCTTCTAGCCAGTGAGAGCTGCAGGACTAACCAGTGCCTGCCTCCCCACAGGTGGGAAAGCAAGGCCCTGGTAAGGCAAGAGTTGTGCAGGGCCAGCCTTGGATCCCACAGCACTGGGGCTTCAGGGCAGGTGATTGGAGCCTGGCTCTGCTACTCCTGTGGTGCCCTGCCCCACCCCATCTTCTCACGTGGAAGCACTGGCAGTGGGAGGCCCCCCACAGTGGGCCAGACCAAGCCGCTCTAGGCCCGTCCTGGGAGCTAGTGATCTGAGTTGCTTAGCAACCTGGGACAACAGAAGCAGTCCAAGTTATCGTGGTTATCGAGTAACCCTGGAACTCACCAAGGTGGGCTTCCCTCGAAGAGAAGAGCCGGGTGGGTGCCTTGGCTTGGCCCCAGACAGCCCCAGGCAAAGCTGTGAGCCTTCCCCTAGCTTCTGTCTCTGCCCTCTGCAGCCTTCCTGGCCCAGACCCTGTCACAACGAGTCTTCCACCCCCCCCCCCCATTCTCTCCCCTCCCCATTTAGACCAGCTTTTCATTGCTTTCCTCACGGCAGAGCAGAAGAACGTCCCAGGCCCCGCCCCATGCTGCTCTATAGGCTGTCACCTGTCCTGCATCAGCCCTGATCCACCCAGTCACAGACACACTCAGGGACAGGGCCTTGGAAAACTCCAAATCCAAGGTTTTTATTACCGGTCAGAAGGTGCTCTCTCACAAACAGTGTTGAGAAGAGGTACATTGCACAGCTCTGCTGCAGGCCTGGTGGGGCCACCCACCCCACCCAGCCCACCCTGCCTCTTGAGTGGGCACCCTAAGGCATTTTATACGTTGGTGTTTTCACTTTTGTTTTTTTATAAAAACAAAATCAGTCCTGGAGTATACAGAAAAAAACCCTGTGATGAATTTTCAGGACCAAACTTAAGTGGGAGGGGTTGGAGTGGGGGTTCTGAGGGGTGGGGACAGTGGCCACGGTGGCCCAGTACCCCCACCATTGGCAGAAGCCTTTGGAAGGGGGTCCGAGGAGAGGGCAGGGCACAGCTGACAGGAGGGCTAAACTCAGACAGGAGTGCCCTGTCTTCATCATTTTTTAACTTCCACATACCATAGAAATTTAAGCAAAATAGCTATTTTTATATATTTATATATCATATATATATAAATCAGGCAAATAAAAGAGTTCAGGGGGTGTGGAGATGGGCACCCTGAAGGTGCCTGAGGCCGAGGCGGGACACTGGGTCTCTGGTGCCTGTGGGCACCAGCCCAGGCTGAGCCAAATGTTTGTTCTTATTGCTGATCTGGGGCCTGGTTCTGGCTTGGGGAGCACCTGCAGGCCCTGCCCCCCAGCCCTTCCTGGCCTCTCTAGGGCTGGGGAGCAGCCTCAACATGGCCAAGGCAAGGCAAGGGGCTGATGCCCTCAAATCTACGTGGGGGCCGCTCGGCGCCCCCTCCCCCACAGTGGGTGCGGCTGTAGCTCCAGAGACAACTGACTTGTGCTCTCCTGGGCCAGGCGGCCCCTCCAGTTCCCTTCTCTGTGGAGTCCTGTGCTCCCGCTGACTGGGCAGCTCCGATACAGATGTGGCCCTGCTATGTTGAGTGACAAAATGCTCCCTGCTCAAAGGGGTCTGGCTTCCTGATGTCTTAAAAAGAAGGGGCTCTTGCCAGGACATGTTTGTGGCAAGAAAGCACACTTAGAAAGTTGTCTGCTAAGTGCTGTGCTAAAAATATTTACTAAAGTCTTGGCTGGAAAGAAATGGAGATCGTTTTTTCTAAAAAAGTCAAATGTGGCTCCTCAGGAGGGGCCAGTGCCTCCCTGGGTGGGGCTGGTGACTGGGGCAGCCCAGGGCCTGGGCCAGCCTGCCTGAGTTGTGTTAACTGGGAGCTGGGGTCCCAGTGGGACCCAAGTCCATAATGAAGGGGCTCGGGTGACCGAGGGCACCTGCGAGCTGAAGAGAATGCAGGTCAGCACTTAACTCCTTCCAAGGTGGGAGCCCCAAAAATGTTTTTAAAAAAGGCGGGGGGAGGTGTGGGGAGGGGGAGGTGTGGGGAGGAGGGCCGTTGAGTACTAAATTGAGTGCATTAAAGAAGAGGTGGACCAGGCTGTGCAGGCGCCTGTATTTGCAGTAGGGGTGGCGCTCAGAAGATGTTGGGGCACATGTGCCAGTCCTGCCTCTCCTTGGCCTCCCAGTAGCCGCCCTTGTACATGCAGGCCGTCTCCCCCGTCAGTGGGTCCAGCCTCTTCTCGAACCACAGCGGCATGTACACATCAGCCTCCTTCTCTGCTGGGCAGGCACAGTGGGCGGGCGGGTGGACAGTGGTCTCTTCCCAGCCCGCCCCCTTCCCTGGTTCCCCCATTCCCTGCCCCCAGGACACAGCTTCCTTCCACCCTGCCTGCCCCCGCACCCTCCCTGTCCCTGGGGTGCCCCTTCCTCCCCCTCTCCCCACCCCTGGGGCATCCCTTCCTTCCGGGAACCGCTCCCCGCCCCCAGGGTCCCCTCTCTCCCCGCCCAGCCTCACCTTCCTCCGTGCCACAGACCCGCGAGCAGGCCTCCAGCCGCCGGCGCCGCGACACCCGCTGCTTCTCCTCCAGCCGCTGCTTCTCCGTGTTGGCCTCGTCCCAGTGCCCCTTCTCCATCAGCCGCTGGTCCGGCCGCAGGCGGCTGTCCGTGGGCGCCACGCCCTCCTCGTGCTCGTTGAGGGTCAGGGCCAGCTCGGAGAAGTAGTACATGTTCTCGGCGTTCTCCCTGTGGCGGCAGGGCGGTGTGAGCGGTCCCGCAGGGCCCCCGGGCCACGTGTCCACCCCTGGAACTCGCCCAGCCAGCGGCTGGCTCCTTCCTCTTTTACTGCCTGCGCCTTGCACACTCGCTCCACCGACTTGGATTTGTTTTGCTACATTCTACTTTTCTGGGAATTTGCCGATTTCCACCCGTTTTTCAATCTCATTACTACTGCTTTAACGACGAGGACGTGGCGATGTCCTCTTTTCACATCTGTGATGTGAGTTAAATGTGCCTTCCCCCCCCATTCTGAACAGTCATGGTGGAGGTTCGTGCACTCTCTTCATTGGTTGAAGATGAAACTTTGTTGATCCTCTTTTAGGTTTTTCTACCTTACTGAGTTTACTTTTATATTCTCCCACTTTGTTGCGGTTTATTTTGCTGTTCTTTTTCCAGCTTCATGAGATGGTTGCTGAGCTCATGATTTTGCAGCTTTTCTTTTCTAATATGTAAGTTTTAGGTTAGGCATTGCCCTCCAAGTACTGCATTAGCTGAATCTCACAGCTTTTATATGTATTACTTTAATTATCATGCACTTTATTTATTTAAGAGAGAGAGTGCCAGCAAGGGGTGGCGGATGGACAGGCAGACTCCACACTGAGCACGGAGGCGGATGGGGGGCTTGATCTCAAGTGAGATCATGAGGCAAACTGAAATCAAGAGGCAGATGCTTAAGGGACTGAGCCATCCAGGCGCCCCTTTATGCAGTTATATTTTCTGATGTCCACTCTATCTTCTTTGATCTGTGGATTAGTTGGAAGTATATTTCTTGAATTTATAAACATTTGGGGATTCTTTCTAGTTATCTTTATTTCTAGCATAATTGCTTTGGAAACACAGTATACTGGTATAATCTCAGTTCTTTGAAATTTGCTGAAAGACCCAGTATATGGTCAGTTTTTGCAGATGTTCCATGTATACCTGAAGAGAAAGTGTTTACTGCAGTTGTTCAGTACAGTGTTCTATAATTGGTAGATTCTATGGTTCAAACTTTTTTTCCCCTGTTTCTAGCCATTACTAAGAGCTTTGTTAAAATTTCCTATATTGGTTGTAAATTAATCCATTTCTCCTTGTATTTCTACCAGCTTTTGTGGTAAATATTTTGAGGCTGTGTTTTTTAGGTACATGATAGGTTCAAATTTAAAACCCATCTTAGTGAATTGAACCTTTATCATTATGTCCCCCTTACCTCCCATCTTACCTTTTGTTTTAAAGTCTGTTTTGCAACATTAATATAGCTACAGCAGCTTTTGTTTGTTATTTCTCTGGACATATCTTTTTCCATCCTGTTATTCCAATCTTTTTTTCTTACTTAGATGTAGCTCTTGTAAAACACATATAGTTGGATTTTTAAAACTTATCTGAAATCTTATACCTGTAATGGGAGTAATTAATGTAATTACTGATATGTTGGATTTAAATCTATCTTGTTTTTTTCTTTGTGTTCTCCTTTTTTGGACCTCAGGTGCACAACTTTGGATTAGTCATGATCCTTGCTACACGACACCCTCTTTTTATTGGTCCTTGCATGGCCTGCTTGACCACCAGAAGAACCTCTAAACAAAAGGTAGAATCCTGAAATGTACATCTAACCATATGGAAAACTCACCAATCCATCCCCTTCTCAGGTAGCTGTCACGACTCCTGGGTTCATCAGTCCCTTGCTTACCTTTTAATCTAATTTTATTGCATCTTTACATAGTCTTAAATGTGCATGTATTTATGTGTTTTCATATACATATATTTACATATTTGTTTTTAACTGTGTAAGAAGAAGGGGCACTGGGACGAGGCCAACACGGATGTATGTAATCTTCTGGGACTTGTTTTTTTTTCTTAATATTATACTGCTAAAATTTATATTGTTGCATGTTTCTGTGGTTCATTAGTTTCAACTACTGTGTAATATTCCCTCCTGTGAATAATAACACAGTTATTCATTCAATAAATCTGGGTTGTTTATAAGTTTTTGCTTTGGAGTAATCTTATGCATGGTTCCCATTGTACATTTGCAGGAATTTCTCGAGTATGTAACTAGAAGTGGAACCGCTGGGCTATAGAGTCTGATATTCTTCTTTAGGAGGTAAGGCCAACCTGCTTTTCAATATGGTGACCAGGCACCAATTTGCATTCCCACCAGTGATGGGTAGAAAATATTGTAGATCTACATCTTCTTTAACACTTGATACTGTCAGACTTTTTCATTTTTTTTTAATTAAATGAAGGCAAAATGGTCTCATTGCAGTTTTGATTTTCATTTGCCTGATTACCAGTGATGTTAATCATATTCATATGATGACTGGTCGGTCATATGTATTTGTTCTCGTGTGAAATTCTTGCTCGTGACTCTTGCACTTTTTCTGCCGAATTGTTTTTGCTTTATTTGTGGAGGAGGTGTTCTTGATTTTTTTTTAGTTATTATTTTTAACTGTGGCCAAATACTTTTCATGTATTCACAATACTGATCTGTTGTCAGGAATTAAGTATTGTGATTATCTTCTGCAAATTTATATATTGTCTTTTCATTTTCTTTAAGTTGTCTCTTAACGAGCAAAACTTCTTTTAATGAAAAAAAAATTTTAATATAGTTACGTGCATCAGTGCTGTTCTGTGTCTTAAGATCTATTTCCTTAAGGTCTAAAAGATACTCATCAGTATTTTCTCCTTAGAGTTAACTTAATGTTTAACAGCAAATCAAGCTTAATACCTTTTCTAAGACCTTTACCTGGAGTCAATTTCTGTTCTAATGTAAGGGAGAGATTCAGGTAATCTTTTTCCATATGGATAACCATTTTCCCAAATCTTTTAGTGAACAGTGCCATCTTTCCACATGATCTCATGTCACCTTTGTTAGGTGATATATACATCCATGGGTCTGTTTCCAGGCTCACTGTTCTATTGCAGTTTCAAAATAAGTCCTAATATCTAGTAGGGCTAGTCCTTATTTCTCTGTTCTTCAGAAATATTCTGGCCCTTTATTCTTCAATAAAAATTTAAAAATCATATCAAGCAATGAAAATCACTACTGGGATTTTGTTTGATCTCCTCTTTAGATCATAACATCTTTGTAATACTAAATCTTTCTATTTATGAACATTGTGTCTTTCTCCATTGATTTAGCTCTTCTTTAATATCTCAGTAAAGTTTTACAATTTTCTCTATAGAGGTCTTGAATATAAGATTATTACAAGATTATGTTATTATATTATATATTACATATTATATATTATGTTATTCTATTATTACAAGATTATCTTATTGAATATAAGATTTATTACAAGATCCTCCTCTAGTATGATAATTGTCTTCTCTTAAATTGTATTTCCTAGTTGTTTTCTTTTAGTGTGTAGAACTGCAACTGACTTTTGCATATAACCTTATAATAAGACACCTAAAATGCTTTTTCTGAATCTACTGAGATTTATTAATGTGATGAATTCATTTGTGGATTTTCTTTTTTTTTTAAAGATTTTATTTATTTATTTGACAGAGAGAGAGAGACAGCGAGAGAGGGAACACAAGCAGGGTGAGTGGGAGAGGGAGAAGCAGGCTTCCCGCTGAGCAGGGAGCCTGATGTAGGGCTTGATCCCAGAACCCTGGGATCATGACCTGAACTGAAGGCAGACGCTTAATGACTGAGCCACCCAAGCGCCCCTGGATTTTCTAACATAAAATCATCTTTGCATGCCCATGACAAATGCAACAGGATTGATGAATGCTTTCTTTTTTATACACTGTTGGATTTTCTGATGTCTTATTTTGGAATTTTGCTTATATATTCATGAGTGAAATAGGGTAGAACTTTAATTTTCCTATGACTCTTTTAGGTTGGTTTGGTATCAGGGTTATCCTGGCCTCACGTATAGGAAAAGAGAGCATTTCTTCTTTTCCTTTGGTCTGGAAGATTTTATATACTATTGGGATAATATATTTCTTGAAAATTTGGTAGAATTCACCTACAAAATTAACTGGGCTTTGTGTTTTCCTGTGAGAATTTTTAAACTACCTCTTCAGTTTCTTTGATTATAGGACTAGTCATGCTTTTCATTTCTTTTAGACTCAGTTCTTGTTATATTTTTCTAAGAATTTGTCCTCATCTGAATTTTAATTCTCTCTTAGTACTTTGTATGTCATATTAAACTCTTCATTAATAATATTTATTTCTATATTCTCTCTTGGTAAGTCTTGCCAATAGTTTTCTGTCAGTTTTTTTTTTCTTGAAGAATCAACTTTTGGCTTTTTAAACTTCTCTATTTTATTTTTTCTATTTTACTAATCTCTGCTCTTATTTTTAAAGTCAGTTTTTTTCTTTCTTCTGGTTTATATGTTGACCTTTCTCTAATTTCTTAGATTAGAAACTCAGAAAAGAAATAGTCTCAAAATGAATGAGCTTGTTTATGTGCCTATTTAAGGCAATCCATTTCCTTTAAAGCACTGCCTTTGTTACATCCATTCTCAATTTTAGGTATTTTATTTTATTTTATATTAAGATTTTATTTATTTATTTAAGAGACAGAGAGAACAAGAAGCGGGGCAGAGGGACAGGTAGAAGCAGGCTCCCTGCTGAGCAGGGAGCCAGATGTGAGGCTTGATCCCAGGACCTGGGATCATGACCTGAGCCGAAGGCAGACACTTAACTGACTGAGCCACCCAGTTGCCCCAACTTTATGTATTTTAAAACTTCCATTCTAATTTATTATTTTACCCATGAGTTATTTAGCAACTTAACAATTTTTTCCAAACACGTGAGGACTTTTTGTCATCTTGTTCATAACTTCTGACTTAGTTGTCTTATCATAGATGTGGTCTGTACGCTACCCTCTAAATTTGTTGAGTCTTTCTTTAGGGTTCAGTACACAATAGATCTTTGCATACATTCCATGTCTACTGGGTAAAAGGTATGTTCCATTATTGTTGCAACTGCAAGTATGTGGACATCCTGTGTTGTTTTGATCTCTTCAGATCCTTGTTGATCCCACCCCTGCTCTGACTGATCAACAAGTGAGAGAGGTATATTGAAGTCTCTCAATCTCCCACCATGGTGATGGATTTATCAATTTCTCCCTTTACTATCAATATATGCTTTGTATAATTTTGAGGCTGTTTCATTACATGCATAGTGAAACTCATATCTTCTTGAAGAACTCAGACTTTTATCATGTAGCAATTCTTCCATCCCTAGTAATGCTTTTGTCTTATTAAAGTCTATTTTATCTGATATTAATATAGCTGTTGTAGCTTTTTCAGTTAGTATTCCCATGATATGTCTTTTCCTTTCAACCTCTGCATGTCTTTGTTTTTGACATCTCTTAGAAGGTGCATATATCTGGATTTTAAAAAAATCCAGTCAGTCAGTATTTTGCTTTTTGACTGGTGAGTTTCAGCTACTTTTATTTGTTATGCTTGGGCCTATTCCTATTGTGTTGATTTACTGTTTTTATTTGTCCTTTTTCTTTTTAGTCTTTTCTTACTATTTTAACATCTTATATTTGTCTCTTCCTTCTAATAAGAACTTAGCAATCCTTCACATCCCTTGGTGTCCGTTTCAACTCCCCTCAGATCCTGACATGTTAACATTATCTACATCTTAAATTCTGCATTATTATGGGAATATTTCTCTTTTACTTCATATGTCTTTTGCAGCAACTTCTGGATTTTTAAAGTACTATGTCTAGGGGCGCCTGGGTGGCTCAGTTGGTTAAGCATCCAACTCTTGATTTCAGCTCTGGTCATGATCTCACATGATCTCAGAGTCTTAAGCTTGAGCCCCATGTCAGCTAAGCACCAGGTGTTTGGATCCTGGTTAAGATTGTCTCTCTCGGGGGGCGCCTGGGTGGCTCAGTTGGTTAAGCGACTGCCTTCGGCTCAGGTCATGATCCTGGAGTCCCAGGATCGAGTCTCGCATCGGGCTCCCTGCTCGGCAGGGAGTCTGCTTCTCCCTCTGACCCTCCCCCGTCTCATGCTCTCTCTCTCTATCTCATTCTCTCTCTCAAATAAATAAAATCTTTAAAAAAAAAAAAAAAGATTGTCTCTCTCGGGCGCCTGGGTGGCTCAGTTGGTTAAGCGACTGCCTTCGGCTCAGGTCATGGTCCCGGGGTCCTGGGATCGAGTCCCGCATCGGGCTCCCTGCTCTGCGGGGAGCCTGCTTCTCCCTCTCCCACTCACCCTGCTTGTGTTCCCTCTCTCGCTGTGTCTCTCTCTGTCAAATAAATAAATAAAATATTAAAAAAAAAAAAAAAGATTGTCTCTCTCCCTCCCCTGCCCCACCCGTTTGCTCTCTCTCTAAAATAAATAAACAAACAAACTACTATGTCTAATACCATTTTCGTTGTGGGTTTTGTGTGGCAAACCTTCTGAGGCTGTTTGCCTGACGACATTTGTTGTTGTTGTTGTTATGTGCTCATTATTAAATGATAGCTCGTCTGGATAAAAATCTTAATCTTCTAATTTTGCTTTCTTCATTACTTGAAAATATTACTCCAAACATTGGCTATTGAAAGATGTCAATCTTTCTGATTGCCAATCTGATTCTTTTTTTTTTTTTTTTTTAAAGATTTTATTTATTTGACAGAGACATAGCGTGAGAAGGAACACAAGCAGGCGGAGCGGAAGAGCGAGAAGCAGGCTTCCCGCTGAGCAGGGAGCCTGATGCGGGGCTCGATCCCAGGACTCTGGGATCATGACCTGAGCCGAAGGCAGACGCTTAACGACTGAGCCACCCAGGCGCCCCTGTCAATCTGATTCTTTATCCTTCATTGTAATCTGCTTGTAGTCCTCTCTTGAAGCTACTAGAATTTTCTCTTTGGCATTTTTAATTTTCACTATAGTGTGGTCTTGGTGAAAGCTTTTCTTTATCTCTTGTCTCTGGAACTCCACAGGCCCTTCAACTCAAGGTCTCCCATCTCTGTTTTTATTCTGGGAAATTTATCTCCATTATTTAACTATTTCTCTTTCCTTTCCATTTTTATTTCTTTCTTTCCCTTCCAGGATTCCAGTTAAACATTATTTTAGTGGTTGTTCTAGGAATTATGCAGACTTCACATAGCCAAAAGTTATCGCACATCTTGACCTTCCTGAGTTGCACAAAGGCCTTTGAGAAGTTTCCTTCCATTTATCCCTCTTCTGACTTATATGATCACACAGTTGTATTTTGTTTAGATTCTAAAACCCGCAAGACATTTCTATTCTTATTTACTGTTCACTTAGGTTTTGTTCTTCATTCATTCACACATCTCAGATCTTCCATCTGGGATCACTTTCCTTCTGCAGGAGGTATATCCTTTAATGTGGGTCTGCTGGTGGCAAAATGAGTTTTTATTAGTCTGAAAATAAAATATTTCAACACTCTGTAAACATGTTCTTGCTGGGTGTATAATCATCGGCTGGCAGTGAGTCTTTCTGCACATGGAAGATCTCATTTGACCGTCTTCAAGCTTCCATCATTGCTGAGGAAGAGACCGCTGTCAGTCTGCTATTCCTCAGAAAGTCATACAGGTCTTTTTCACAACTCTTTGATTTAGTTTCAACAGTTCCACTGTATAGATTTGGTGTGGAAGATTCTTTTCTGTTTGCTCTTCAGATATGGTCTCTTTCTTTCTAGACTCTGACTAGAAGTACCCTAGACCCTGCTCTCAAACCTGACGTGCGCATGGCTGCCCTCGGGATCTTCCTGAGATTCTCACTCTTATGGGCTCCCAGGGCTGCTGGTGATGCTGCTCCAGGGACTCCCTCTGGGTCACTAGGTGGTAAGCTTTCTCTCTGTTAGCTTTTTGTCTTTGCCAGGTTTTGTCTCTCTATTTGAAGTGTTTCTTCTCTTCTGTTGATGGATTGTATTAAACCTTCCCCATTGGAGTTCTCAAGTTCAGTTACTTAATTTTTCCTTTGTAGAATTTGTTTTGCTCTCTTTGGAACCTGCTGTGTCACTTTTTATAGTTTTCTGTTTCTTGCACTGATTTTCACATTTGGTTTTCATTCCTTGGACTGTGGGGACTCTGTCCTTATCAGCCTGTTTAAAGTCTGCATAGAACTTGCTACCACCGGATAAGGTCACGCTTATTTACGGCCGAGTGTCTGGCTCCCACACTGGGATGTCAGCTGCAGAACACCGTCTCTGCCTGCGTGTGGACAGAACCGTCCCGACCCCAGTGCCTGCTGCTCGCTTCTTGCCTGGCCGGCAGGCTCCCTGGCCTGTCCTCTGCCCCTTGCCTCTGTTTCCCGCTCCCTGCCTGCTCTTTACCCGCCCTGCAGCCCCACTCACGGCAGCGGGTACTTCTTCCACAACAGCTTGGCTGGAAGCGTCTGGTACACTGTCTTCTGCTTCCCATCCGAGCCGGGGCTGCTGGGGTTGCTTTGCACAATCTTGGCGCACTCCATCTGTTCATCCCATGAGCCTGACAGCACGTAGTGGGCTTTGCCGTGGCTGTCACTCACCACTCCTGTCACCTGTGGACATGGGCAGGATTGGCATAGGCACACGCCCCACCCCAGGCCCCCCAACGCTCCAAGAGGTGGCCTTGCTTACCTTCCGGGCTACCTCTTTGGAGAAGTAGCTGTAGGGCAAGAACTTCAGCTGGCACCGGTCCTGGGTCTTATGGTTCACAATCTCGATGTCCCCTGTCTGGTGAGGGAGGGTAGTGGTCAGTGGCCCACTTCGAGGCCACACGCCCCCCCTCCCTGAGGGCACTGCCTGACCTGGTCGATCCAGAGCTTGCCCACAATGATGTTATGTACAGTCGAGGTGCTCTTCCTCCACACGTAGTGATTCCCACTGGCCTGGAATTCTAAGTGGATGGCACCTAAAGGCCAGATATAGGGTCAGAGGTCACGGTTTGCCATGCTAGACCCCAGCCAGCCTGCCTGCTCACAGTCCCAGGGTCCTGACAACTGGAAGCAGTATTCATGTCGACTGGGGACAGGACATAGGCCAGGGAGGCATCCAGGAAGCCTGGGGAGGTGGGGAACAGATTTGCAGAGAGACTAATGTCACTCCTGGAGGCCCCAAGCTGGCTTCTGGGTTGGTAAAACCCTCCCCCTTATCCCGAATGTCTTTCTGTCCTGGGAGAGCACAGGGCTCCAGCTCACCTAGAGGCATGATGGAGAGGTATTTTCCCCGGAACTTGCTGGAGATGGTGATCTCCTGCCAGAGGCTCCAGCCATGCTTGGAGAACACGTAGTGTGCAGCTGATGGTGGGTGGTGGCTCACCTGAGACCAGACCCACAGGACATGAGCGTCTGCTGGACGTGGGCCCAGGCCTGCTCCCCAACCAGCTAAGTGGGGGGGACAGCCTGCCCTGTGCTCAGCACGACCAGCTCCATGGCCCTGGGAGCAGGCCCCCGGGAAGGACGGTGCTCTGAGTGGAAAAGCAAGGGTGCGGCAGTGGGACCGGCCTGGGCGGCTGTCCTGGGCTTGCTGTGGTTGGGAGAAGGGGGCCGAGGCATCTCTCCGCTGGACTTGGGCTCTGAAATGGGGTGACGACAGAGCCTGGCCTCAAGGAGGCCCCTGTGACAAGTTGTGCTGAGGGCTAGGAAGCGAGGTGTGATGCTCTAGCGAGGGCTTCTGTGCCCGCTCTCCAGGTGGCCACCCCACTCATCCGCAAAGGGCCATGTTGCACAGGGGGCCCAGGTCGGGGAAGCCATTTGAACTGAGTGGCAGCGTTGGGCCCTGCCTCCCTCCTGGGCAGTCTGGCTGCAGAGCAGGAGTCCGCGGAGGGTGGCGCAGCAAGCTCTGCACAGCCCCGCGGGGGCCCCCTAGCACCTTCCGCCTCCTCTCACGGCACTGGGCGCCCCTGATGGCTGTCTCACCTGCTAGTACGCCCCTGTCAACTTCCCCTTGTTTGTTCTTCCTCATTTCTGTGGCTCCTTTGGTCACAGGTCCTGGGGCCCAGCCTCTCCCCAGCTTCCTCACTCCCTAGGGCACCTCTTCGCTGAGTCACAGCCTCAGTCAGGCTCCGGCCCCAGCCTTGCGCTGGGACTGGCGCCGTGCGCTCCAGCTGCCCACTGGATGCTTCCACTCCGGCGGCTCTTTGGACTGACCAGAGTTCCTGCCGTGCCCGCATGCATTGCTCATTGCCTCCTGTCACCATCAGTGGTACCTCACTGCCTTTTGGGTTTGAGTCCCAGGTCAAACCCGCCAACCATTCCTTGTCGCCCAAGGCCAGGGCCCCATGTGCCCTAGAGCCCAGCACACTGGCAAACTCAGGGATGGGACCCCAAGGGGCTGGCCCTGGCGCTCTGCGTCATGGCTTCCTGCTCAGGCCGATGACCTAGTCTTAACAGCTGCTCACACCAAATGCTTTGGAGTCATCCCTGGCCCTCTTTCTTGTGTGCCTGCTCTAATCCTTAGCAAATCTAGGCTGTTCTTTCTTCAAAATGCATCTAGGAGCCACCCCTCCCCCTCACCAGGCCACAGTGGGTGGCGCAGAGCGTCTGTAGGCTTTACTCTCTGCTGCAGGGGTTGGGGGGTGGGGGCATAAAACAAGGCCGGTGTCCTGACTCCTCCACCTGCCACACAGAGTGAAACCGGAGGCCTTAGGCTGCCTGCCCACTCCCTGTCTGACCTGTGCGCTCCTTTCTCCCTCACTCTGGGCTTCAGCCAGCTTTCTAAAGGAGCCAGAACCATCTGTCATACACAGCACCTGTCCCTCACTGCCCGCCTCAGGAGAACAGGCACCCCATCCGCTCACTTCCCAGCTGCTGGGGCTTTTGGGGGTACTTGGTCAACTCTATTGAATGAAGAAGTGAATTCACTCAGTAGTTCAGGCCAAGAACGCCAGGGTCATCCTTGCTACTTTCCCTTGCCTCCCTCCCTCCCTCCTTTGCCCTCTCTCCCCACATCCAAAGCATTAGCAAATCCCCAGGCTCTACTTTCTAAGCAGCTTGAGCTCTGCCCTCCCACGTCCCCCTGGTGTGGCCACCCTAACCAGCTTCCTGTAGGGCTACACTGCAGCCAGAGCACGCCTTTTCAACTAGCCACCAGACTGTGAAACGTCTGCTTTCTGAGCTCCACCCCAGGCCCAGAACAGAGCCTGGCCCACGGCCCATGTCCAGCAGCCCACCTGGGAAGCTCTATGTTGGGTGCCTTCACGCAGCACTTAACTGGGTCCTCCCAGCACCCAGGGAGGTACCAACAGAATCACCCCTTCAGACAAGGGCGCCAAAGCTCAGGCTGAGATGCTACTGTGGAGGCTCCCAGACCCCAGGGCCTGGGTTTGGTTTTGCTCCGTGAGGAGAATATGCATCTCTGTGGGGAAGGCATAGAGAAGGGATGGGGGCGAGCTGACCTCGCCGCCCCCCAGGGCAGGACCTCTGGACCTGAGAAGCTCCTCACATTCCAGGCCTGTACCATCACTGACCAGGGTGCCCACACGGCGCGGGCTCCCCTCTGCCTGCCACCTCCGCCACTCTGGTCCACCCGGACTCCCCGATAGCACCGCATACATGTCCCTCGAGTGTTGCTGCATGGTTCCTGACAGAGGGGATGGGGGGGGCCCTCCCCTTCCCCTTCCCCTTCCCCACACACCAGCCCTGACTCTGTCCTCACCCGGCTGTCTCCAGGAGACCTGCCCCTGCTGCAGGAGGCCCAGCTGCTGATTGGACCTCGTCTTGGCCCTGTGGGCACGGGCATGTCAGGGACAGAGGCCGCGTCCCATTCGTCTCGCTAGGACCCCCAGGCCTAGCAGGAGTGGCTTGGCCAGAGCGTGCGTGGGCCTCACCTGCTCGCAGAGGGAGCGCAGGCCCATGTCATCGAGGCGGTCCAGCTCAAAGGTCTCCCCAAGCATGGGGTTGAAGGGCTTGGCGATGCGGTGCACAGTGGTGGAGTAGGAGGACACAGAGAAGGCGGCCACCAGGCACATCTGCTCCGCCGAGCTGGTGCAGTGCACCGCCTTGTCCAGCAGGTGGTGGTACTCCAGGTCCTCCGTCAGCCGCTGGAGCATGGACAGGGGCTCGTTAAAGTTGACCTGTGGACAGGCGGCCGTCAGGCGCTGCTCCCAGCGCGGGCCTGGCGTCGGCACGGCACCCTTGTTCTCCTCAGGGGTTCGTGGACACTGCTGCTCAGATGGCACCTTCACAGTCAGGATCCTCTGATGACCCTGTCTAAAGCCCTGTCTGAACCCGCGGCTCCATGCGCTCGCCTCCGGCCCTCACCGCTCTTGGACCTGCTGTCTCTCGGACCCTCTCACTATGGTTACTGTCACTCTCCCCTCCTAGGATGTAAATGCCACAAAGACCAGAGTTTCTGACTTGTTCAGCACCGAGTCAGAATCAGTGAGTGAGTGGATGGATGGGTGGCTGGCTGAGTAGGTTTTCCTCCTATTCTGAGCTATTATGCTAGTCTTCTGGTGAAAGCTCCTGGAGGTGCCCCCCCATCCTGGCCTTGGACAGGGCAGGGTCACTCACCATGCTGGGCTGCGACCCTGGGCCAGCCATCAGGCAGGGACTGCCCTGCATTCTCCCCTTTCATCCTCCCAACACTGTTATGTGGGCGCCATTACTCTCCCCACTTTGCAGGTGTGGGCACAGAGGCCGGAGATGTGAAGGGGTTTGTCCCGGGGCACACAGTGAGGCCAAGTCTGGCCCGAACCCCAAACTCTTCCTCCCTGGAGATGCCATCAGAGCCTGGTGGCGCGTAGATGCCAACCCCGCCCTCAGCCCGCTGTGTGACCTGGCCGGCGTGGGCGCCAGAGACCGCTCCCCGCCCAGAGGAGGGCCCAGTCCTGCCACTCCCCATCTATGAGGTCAGGACAGCTGGCACACCGTGAAGCCCTGTCAGGTGCAGAGGCGCTGTGGGGGTCCCCACATCTCTGATCAATGCAGACTCCTTCGCTCCTTCCCTCAGAGCCTGAGACCTCTGCTCTCAGGGGATTTTGGCAATGTCGTTGAACACGACTGGATAATTTGTTACATGCTCCTCAGGTGTCCTTAAGAAAATGACACCCAGGCTGCTGGTACTTCACAGAGGCCATTCCTTCTCATCCATCACAAAAAAGCCCCCCCGCCCCCCGGACCCACTGCAGCTGCCCCGCCCCAGCCCCCTACCGGCATGGGGATCTTGGAGAGCTCCCGGCCGATGCAGTTCTTCATGATGCTCCAGAGATTAAGGCTGTAGTTGGGTTTGTCAGGGATGCGGACACGCCTCTTGACTTTGGGGGGGCCCTTGGGCACAAGCGAGGCACCATCTAGCACCTGCCAGAGAGAACATGCCTGTGAGCGGAGGCCAGGGTGCCCCTTCAGCCCCCCAGCCCTGGCCCTCACCTCTACCCAGTGCAGTCCGAGCACTGAGCTGG